AATCTTCAAGTGTCCTAAATCCAAAATACTATAACACGTGACCTTTTTGGCCTAATCATTTACAATTTTGTATTTTGATTTTATATAAACACTATCCATATCACTTTAAATTTTGTCTCAGGAAATCTCAATTTGGTAAATTGGTAAATCAGTTCTTCTTCCTGGGTTTCTATTGGTCTGTTTCAGCTAACATAGTCTCACAATGAAATAAATTGCTTTTTCTTATCAGTAAGGAGTCTCTAAGTTAATCACAAGATCCCGACCTCTGGTGAATTTCCTTCACTCTTCTGTGATGATTGTTGTTGGACAAAATACAATTTTATCCCTCAATCAAACATGTCATTGTGATTAGACTAAGAACTAACTATTCCTAATTTTTTAAAACGTTATCTTAATAATAGTCTAACATTATCATTCCTAAAACTTATTAGTAACTCTTACCCTTAATTAAAATTAAACTTTCATTTAATTATTAATAAACTTTAATGTGTCTCTTTAATTATAAATCTCTAAACTAACTTTGACCTCTTGACCTTAACTCATTAATATACAATTTTATATTTTTATAATTTCCGTTTCTGTTTTATAATTCCGCCAAAACAATTACATCATTATTTTACATTTCATCACCAGTAACTTGACCTTATTGACCTAATGATTTACAATTTTGTATTTTGATTTTATATAAACACTACCCATATCCAACATTACATAAACATTTACCTTATTATTATATTATAAAGGATGCCGCGCAAATATGGCCACTATTTCAATGACATACTATTTTACCCTACAGTAGGACGTTAAATCCCATTTCATTTAATTTATCTAGAACTATGTTCCAGGTAAATGTCCCGGCACCCATTCACATCAGACCATATTCTGTATTAAATAAACAAGACAATCAGAATTTACCTAGCTTTTAATTACACATATAGTTTCATTCACCTTATCACTGAAGTTACGTGACTTTCACAAACGTCAAATTACGCATTCGTAATCACCTCGCATGGATAATTTCAAGCAAAATTTAATTTATGGCACAAAATAGCATTTACGTTTCTAAAGCAAAACTAATTACATAAAATTATATACGGACAAAATTCACCGTATATCCTACACACTTTTCTAACTTCCTATTAAACTCGTATAATGACTTTGCGATAATCTCACAATTTCGACGAGCCGTTAATTTTAGGTTTTTTTCAGGAAAAACTATACCTACATCCCTAGATTTAAATACATGGGATTTTAACATAACCTAACTTTATATTCAAAAGTTAAATTACCATAATTTTGAAACTGGGACCAGGGTCTCAAAATTATATTAGCTCTCCATAGCTAAACACATATACGAACGACACAAAAACACACATTTTAACGAATCAAAGTAGAAACCTGCCAATCCTATTCTTAGCTCTGCCATCCTCCTATTTTGATCCGGAGACAACATTAATTCCTGATTTTATTCCCTATTCCGTTTCCGTATTGTTATTCCAGTTATATCAAAAAAAAAAAAAAAAAAAAAAAAATTAACCTACCCCCTATACCCACTTTAATTTAAAATAAATATTTTTTACTACAGACCATGTTAACCTGATAATATACGCATACCTATCTAATGATGATATATTGTTTTATAAAGCTGCAGTCTATCAAAACTTATTAATGACTATATTTTATTCTCTATACAGTTGGATTTTAAGCACATTTAATTTGTAACCTGATTTTAATATTTCATTAATATTATTTGATCTGTTAAACAACTTAACACGTTCAATTTTCCAGAACAAATATATTTACCCAATTTTGCGAATATTTCCACCAAAATCTTTTCTTCCGCCACATTGTTTTTTCAACCAATTTTTTTCCAACATAATTTTTCCTATTGCTGGTTTGTATGGGTTTTCTTCTTCCAAAGTTGCTGCTAGTGCTAACCCTAAATATCGAGACTGGGTTACGGCATCAAATCAAATTTGTAGCATCATGGGTCTTTCTGTCAGACGTGGAAAACGGCCCACGTACTAATACCGGTCGCCACATGCATCTTTTCATACTATATATCTTAGTAGTCGTGTAATCGTCTAGTATTTTCACTTGTCGTCTTTGCCTCCCCTTCACGTTGTGTATTTACTTCTTACTGTTTCTCATTTAGTTAAGACGGTTGTCTTATCAGGAATAACAATGCAACAGTTCGTTTGTTCATTTTATATATCATAGCCGGATACATAGATACAATCATAGTAAAATAATAGTAAAGTCATTCCCTCAAACATCATCAAGCCAGACTCGCTGGGGCGAGTCTACTGATAGAAATCGCTACATCTTTTCCCTTCCAGAATCAAGCTGCTGTCTCACGATTGCTCACAAATATGATAGTTTTGTAGTTTTGGGTTTGGACCTTCAATTATCTAATGTAAATAATTATAGATATTGGTTAATTAAGCCAAATGATGCAATCGTATTTTTCCGGTCACGTGTTAAACATGATATTCTATTTACCACGCAACCAGCTTATGTTTACCCAATTATACTCTTTTTATATAACAATCTGTTACTTACTCAGTATGATTTAAGTACATATTAGACAATATGTTTGAATCCCACAACTTGCCAAAGACATTAATTAATACAATATAAGGCCATCATTAATTTCAAGAGCAAAACTTCTAGCAATATTGCTACAAGTGTGTTACTACAAGAAGCTAAATAACATAATTCCTAGTATAGCCAATTAACTAAAAGTCAAATAAATTACACATATTGTTAACAAATATCAAGAAGGAAAATTACAATACAAATTCTAGATTTCATTGATATATTGTTTCCTTCTAAATAAATATCAATTAATCGCAGTGAGCATAATTCAGGTTAATAATCTGTAATACCTTTTAGCACCGTGAACTGGCGTCCAAAACAATACATAGTTCTAGGAAAGAAACCTACTGCTAAACGTTTTCAGATAATCTTTCTTATTTGTTATTTTTAATAATAGAGTTAACCAAGCTTAATTATCGTATTTATTTATATTTATATTTTCTTATATATAGGTATAGATATTATATATAACCAACCCAGCTTGTTTAACGTATTTATATTTTCTTATATATAGGTATAGATATTACAGTATGTAAAGAAGTTGGAAACTTTGAATCTGTAGATCTGATTTGTTCTACCAATGATGATATGATACATGTAGGGAGTATCAGGTATTTTTATAATCAAGGATCTGATTGTGGTGGTTCAACAGAGATATGTGGTCAACCATTGACTAATAGTGATACAGGTTTAATAACATCTTGTACTGGACAACCATCACCATGTTTACAATATATACCTACTTATAGTAATTGTACAGGAAGTACTGTTAACTATAGATGTATTCCAAGTAAGTAAACATATTTAGATATTGACTTCATGTAGTTATATAATACACACATAAAGTATAGCAACACCTGAATGTGCTCAAGATTGAATATCCTCCAGAACGTTAAATAGCTAGTATATCTGATCAAACAATAGCATTATTATTCAAATGGGGTCTTGCCATACATTTTCTCTTTACAGAATAGTAGCTTTATTAACTTGGACAATTATGTTGCCACCATATTATTCTTTCTATTTTAGGAGAAAATGGTCAAGATATGTGTCAAAGTAAATTAAATTTAACAGAAAATGCTGCCAGAATATTTCTGTTTTCATCAAATTATCCAAATACTACGAATGGTTTTAAACCAAATGAACCAAGGTGTAAATGTGATATACGTGGTACAAATATAACATCTATAACTATATTAGATCTTACATTAAAAACATCTAGTGATGGAACAAGATCTAATTTATTTATAAAATATGGTGATATAACTTATAATAAAACAAGTAGAGAAAACCCTAAGCCCACTCTACAAATTTATAATCACAGACTACAATCAACAACATCCGCATTAACTGATATTATATTTACTCATGAACAAATACATGGACAAAAACTATGGATTGAAATACAAGGTAAATATTAAAACCCTTAATCATCCACCACTGTAATATTTAAACCTGGTACCATCCACCCACTGTACTATTTAAACCTGATATCATCTACCACTGTACTATTTAAACCTGATATCTTCTACCACTGTACTATTTAAACCTGATATCATCTACCACTGTACTATTTAAACCTGGTATCACTCCCACTGTAGTATTTAAACCTGATATCATCTACCACTGTACTATTTAAACCTGCTATCACCCCCACTGTAGTATTTAAACCTGATATCATCTACCACTGTAGTATTTAAACCTGATATCTTCTACCACTGTACTATTTAAACCTGGTATCACCCCCACTGTAGTATTTAAACCTGATATCATCTACCACTGTATTATTTAAACCTGATATCATCTACCACTGTATTATTTAAACCTGATATCATCTACCACTGTACTATTTAAATCTGATATCATCTACCACTGTACTATTTAAACCTGATATCATCCATCACTGTACTATTTAAACCTGATATCATCCACCACTGTAATATTTAAACCTTATATCATCCATCACTGTACTATTTAAACCTGATATCATCTACCCACTGTACTATTTAAACCCTGATATCATTCCACTGTACTATTTAAACCTGACATCATCTACCCACTGTACTATTTAAACCCGATATCATCTACCCACTGTACTATTTAAACCCTGATATCATTCCACTGTACTATTTAAACCTGATATCATCTACCACTGTAATATTTAAACCTGATATCATTCCACTGTAATATTTAAACCTGATATCATCTACCACTGTACTATTTAAAGCCTATATTGTCTAACATCTACCACGGTTATATCATAAAGTAAAAGTACAAACTAATAATATCTTGTGTTGTTTGAAAGCGGGTTTATTCTCTTTTTTCAGGTATATCTTTGGTAGGTTCTTGTAATAATATAACTCCAGGTTCATCTTCTACACAGAGTGAGATTTCTACCAGTACAACTACATTAAATAACAGACCTTCCAACACTGTAACCGATCCTAGCACTTCATCTCAAACATCAACTGACACCTCAGAAATATCATCTGATTCAACATCAAGAACAGCAACCAATACATCAGACAGTGAAGCGGAACGAACAGACAACGGTAAATTTAACTGGATATAGTAATATTAAAATGAGAGTACGAGTAAAATCGCATCTTTTTCCTTTCTCCAAATGATAGGAAATGAACGGTAATTCACCATTAATAACAACAACATTTAATTTTATTCAGTAATTAATGATGTTCCAATATACGGACAATATGAAGATGGACCCTGGTGCTCATATAATGTTCCGGCGCTATTGCACTTTCGTACCTCTACCAGTTCCCGTGGTCGTAGGCACTTGAAATTTTCAGAGGATGTTAAGGGGGGCTAGCAATGACCACACACCAAATTTCAGCCGAATCGATAAATAATTTTTTATTTTACCGACCTTTTAATTTCTAACGAGAGAGAACTTCATCCGTTTGACGTCATTTGCTTTGTTTACTAATTAGACTTGAATAACAAGACACTAAGACGGAAACCGACTCGAATAACAAGACACTTAGACGGAAACCGACACACTGCACCAGCTGCCTAACACTGCAGTTCATAAAAATTAATATAATTTTCGTATACTTTAATTTTTGCGCGAAGCCACCATTTTCTATAAAATACTATTTGGTGTTGATCAGTGGATTGGCCGTTAGGTGTAAATATTGCCGTGACCTTGATTTTGACCTTGAGGCCAAACTTCCCACCCATATCGGGGCCTTTGCGTTTATGCTTGCCGTGGCCTTATTTCTTACTGTATTATCAAAGTTAATGTTCGAGGTGAAAGCAGAGATGACGTCTTTCAGAAAAGATAATTGGGTCAAAGTCGTAGGTCAAGGTCATGTTACAGAAAACTAAACTCAAACTTTTCAATGTCATTTTTGGGACATTTGACCTTGACTTACGACCTTGACCCCGTAACCATTTTCAAAGGCTATCACATTGGCTTGAAACATGAACGTTTACCTTGGTCCTGTCGCACACTGCTCGGTCAGAAAACGGTCAAACGCAGAGAATCCGTGTCCGAAAGGAAGTCAATGGGCGTGGTCAATGTGAAAGGTCGTGGTGACCTCCACTAGTCACCGTTAACCATCCGTAACCTTGACTCTGACCTTGAGTCCAAACGTCCCATCCATCTCGGGCCCTTTGCGTTTATGCTTGCCGTGGCCTTATTTCTAACTGTATTATCAAAGTTAATGTTCGAGGTTAAAGCAGAGACGACGTCCTCCAGAAAAGATAATTGGGTCAAAGTCGTAGGTCAAGGTCATCTTACAGAAAACTAAACTCGGACTTTTCAAAGTCAGTTTTGGGACATTTGACCTTGACTTACGACCTTGACCTCGTAACCATTTTCGAAGGCTATCACCTTGGCTTGAACCATCGACGTTTACTTTGGTCCTGTCGCACACTGTTCGGTCAGAAAAGGGTCAAACGCAAAGGGCCCGTGTCCGAAATGAAGTCAATGGGCGTGGTCAATGTGAAAGGTCGCGGTGACCTCCACTAGTCACCTTTAACCATCCGTGACCTTGACTTTGACCTTGAGTCCAAACTTCCCATCCATCTCCGGCCCTTTTCGTTTATGCTTGCCGTAACCCTATTGCTTACTGTATTATCAAAGTTAATGCTTGAGGTGAAAGCAGAGACAACGTCCTTCAGAAAAGTTAAAAAGGTCAAAGTCGTAGGTCAAGGTCATGTTACAGAAAACTAAACTCAAACTTTTCAAAGTCAGTTTTGGGACATTTCACCTTGACTTACGACCTTGACCCCGTAACCATTTTCGAAGGCTATCAACTTGGCTTGAATCATGGGTGTGTACCTTGGTCCTGTCGCACACTGCTCGGTCAGAAAACGGTCAAACGCAGAGGGGCCCGTGCCCGAAAGGAAGTCAATGGGCGTGGTCAATGTGAAAGTTCGTGGTGACCTCCACTAGTCACCTTTAACCATCCGTGACCTCGACTTCGACCTTGAGTCCAAACTTCCCATCCATCTCGGGCCCTTTTCGTTTATGCTTGCCGTGACCCTATTTCTTACTGTATTATCAAAGTTAATGCTTGAGGTGAAAGCAGAGACAACGTCCTTCAGAAAAGATAATTGGGTCAAAGTCGTAGGTCAAGGTCATGTTACAGAAAACTGAACTCAAACTTTTCAAAGTCAGTTTTGGGACATTTGACCTTGACTTACGACCTTGATCCCATAACCATTTTCAAAGCCCATAATCTTGGCTTGAACCATCGACGTTTACCCTGGCCCTGTCGCACACTGGTCGGTCAGAAAACGGTCAAACGCAGAGGGGCCCGTGTCCGAAAGGAAGTCAAAGGGCGTGGTCAATGTGAAAGTTCGTGGTGACCTCCACTAGTCACCTTTAACCATCCGTGACCTTGACTTCGACCTTGAGTCCAAACTTCCAATCAATCTCGGGCCCTTTTCGTTTATGCTTGCTGTGACCCTATTTCTTACTGTATTATCAAAGTTAATGCTTGAGGTGAAAGCATAGACAACGTCCCTCAGAAAAGATAATTGGGTCAAAGTCGTAGGTCAAGGTCATGTTATAGAAAACTGAACTCAAACTTTTCAAGGTCAGTTTTGGGACCTACGACTTTGACCCAATTATCTTTTCTGAATGACGCCGTCTCGGCTTTCACCTCGAACATTAACTTTGATAATACAGTAAGAAATAAGGTCACGGCACGCATAAACGCAAAGGGCCCGAGATGGATGGGAAGTTCGGACTCTAGGTCTGGGTCAAGGTTACGGATGGTTAACGGTGACTAGTGGAGGTCACCACGACCGTTCACATTGACCACGCCCATTGACTTCCTTTCCGACACGGGCCCCTCTCCGTTTGACCCTTTTCTGACCGAGCAGTGTGTGACAGAACCAAGGTAAACGTCCATGATTCAAGCCAAGGTAATAGCCTTCGAAAATGGTTGCGGGGTCAAGGTTGTAAGTCAAGGTCAAATGTCCAAAAAATGACTTTGAAAAGTTTGAGTTTAGTTTTCTGTAACATGACCTTGACCTACGACTTTGACCCAATTATCTTTTCTGAAGGACGTCGTCTCTGCTTTCACCTCGAACATTAACTTTAAAAATACAGTAAGAAATAAGGCCACGGCAATCATAAACGCAAAGGCCCTGATATGGATGGGAAGTTAAGACTCAAGGTCAAAATCAAGGTCACGGCAATATTCACACCTAAAGGCCAATCCACTGATCAACACCAAATAGTATTTTATAGAACATGTTGGCTTCGCGCAAAAATTAAAGTATACGAATATTTTATTAATTTTTATGAACTGCAGAGATAGGCAGCTAGTGCAGTGTGTCGGTTTCCGTCTTAGTGTCTTGTTATTCGAGTCTAAATAGTAAACAAAGCAAATGGCGTCAAACAGATGAAGTTCTCTCTCGTTAGAAATTAAAAGGTCGGTAAAATAAAAAGTTATTGATCGATTCGGCTGAAATTTGGTGTGTGGTCATTGCTAGTCACCCTTAACATCCTCTAATGATTTCAAGTTCCTACGACCACGGGAACTGGTAGAGGTACGAAAGTGCAATAGCGCCAATGTTCCAATATACGGACAATGTGAAGATAGCCCCTGATACTCATCTAATGTTTTTACCATTAATAACAACAATATTTAATTTTATTCAGTAACTAATAATGTTTTAATATACTGACAATATGAAGATGGACCCTGATACTCATATAATGTCATTTAACATTTTTGTACCCCTCGTCGCTCGCCTTGTAAATTAAAGGAAACTATTGTAATTTTATCAAAGTTTGAAAGTATTACTATTTATTTCAGATAAAGATATCGCCATCATTGTTTTGGCTATATTATCGTTTTCATTGATACTGGTCATAGTTTTATATCTCATGTACAGGTAAAATTATTATTATTATTATTATTTACCTTCCATTTAATATTCACAGCTTCTAGTCGTTCGGGTGGGACGATAAACCTGGATCCCGTGTACACACACTTTAGCACGTACAGTAGAACTTGTATTAAGCAAGCACCCAAGGGAAATTTAAAAATGCTTGCTTAATGGGGGTGCTCTTTGACTAGAGCTATCCAATATTGCCCCAACCCCTACCACAAAAAATAAAGATATAGATTGAATATATTTTTTTATTCCTTTAGTATAACAATAACAATACATGTACTTTTTTTAACTAGTTTTGGATTCAAAGTAGTCGCGTATACATGTTTGCTTATTAATACTGGATCTCTGGCCCCCCAATATTTCTTTTACTTTCATCATACTGAATCATAGCGTCTAAAAGCGTTTCAAAATGCCGTGAATTTGAGTATTTCCCACCCCAACTATTTTAGCGATTACGCGACCACATAATAAAATCTCGGTGCTTTTTGTGCTGACATAAATTAATTACGCTTGGTGCATTGGGAGCGAACATCAATACTTGCATCGATAAATTTGACCGTCGTTGAATCTTGAACGAAAATTCTTTACTCAAATCTCGAACATAACTTCTGTAAACATGTCATTTTGTACCAACCTGGATCCCATGTACACACACTTTAGCACGTACATTGTACTTACAAAAGGATTAGGCGGAGACGCCGATGTCCAAGTAAATGTTCCCCATAGTACATTGTGTAGGGTATAACTTCATTTATTATCCCTATTGGTTTAGAAAGAGAGAGACAAATGGGGTTTAACGTCCACTCGACACAAACTAGGTCATTTCGGGACTAACATATGGTTTCATTTTATTTCAATAATTCGCTTATGTGTAGGGGTCTTTAGCAGTGGGAGGAAACCCGAGGACCCGGAGAAAACCCACAATGTTGGACAGGCGACCCTATACCTCGTCACGTCGGTTTCGAAAGGCAGGACGTTTCATTTCTGTAGTCATTCAACGCATTTTAATACTAAAAGTGTTATATTTTGGGTTTCAGTTTATTTTCTATTTAATACTGTGTTTTTGTATTTTTCTTGTTACAGAAAAGGTAAACTAAGATGTCTAAAGAGACATGGTAATCCGAGAATGGAGAATTCAAGAACGATAACTCCGTCAGAACCTTGGACTACTTACAGTAATCTATCGGATACAGACAGACATAATACAGATAGTGCTTACCAGGAATTACAAACCAGGAATGTAAATTCACCTTATAATAATCTTCCATATTCTGGTACAGACATACAACCTGGTACTAACTATAGTAGTCTATCTGATAGTAACAGACATGATACCGATAATAATAGTTACCAAGAGCTACACACAAGAACCTCCACGTCACCTTATAACAATCTCCCCTATAGTAATCAATAATTATCACCTTATAACAATCTCCCCTATAGTAATCAATAATTAACACATTTATAACAATCTCCCCTATAGTAATGAACTACATACATATAGTAATTAATAATACCATAGCCTATACCATCACACTGACTTTCAATTTTTTTCCGCCAAAATGGATGATAATTTTTATATAACAAAATGTTCATATTTTTTTCCGCCAACTAGAATATTTATCTTCCAAACATTTGTGATAAAAAAGACAACAATACAATATACAACAACTTTAAAAATCTGTCTGTGTATAATAAATTAGCACAGTTTGGATTTAATAAGATCAGATTTTTTTGTGGGGTGACTTTAGTCTATTTGAACACCGTACCGCACAATATATTTTTAGTATCTACACGTCAGATCTCATTCAAGGATTGCCAATTTTCTATAAATTTATGTGTTGCGTGTACAATAGGCCTACAGTTATTTTCAGAATGTGAATCCCTGGTAGAATGATATAAATTTCAATTATATTTGTAAGAGATGCTTACAATTATACCCGTCGTTCACCTTTAGATCATTTTGGCGACGGTAATACGATACGTCATATGGCGAAATGATTTCTCGCTCAAGAATCGTCGCTATTCAACTCGTTCTTACGTTTTCGACCAGTGGTGATGATATAATTTGAAATAATGATATCCGATCGGCATGCTTGTATATCTTACATGCCGCATATGAAGCCAGAGTAAACGGAATTCAACTATCAAAATATTTAATTCTCTTCGAAAGGAACTGTCGACCATTTTGATTACATGTATTACCATTTTTTTTAAGACGAAACGGAACGTCAAATAATCACCGCTTGGATTAATAATGACTTGAGATAGGCTTTATATACATCATTTGCAATTATCAATCAACTAATCATTAATCTAAGACAACTGATTAGTATTAATCATTGACGTAATCCGGATTATCAGCTAGTTGATTGATTTATAGTATTCCGCCACGTGATTGACACTCAAATAATTGTTAATCAAGGATGAATACGATTAGAATTTTAAGATTTTTTTCCCCAGTTCTCAAAAAGAATCGCCAGTACCGCAAAACATTATCGCCAAAATCAAATTTTAATCGCCACTTTCATATTTTCATCGCAAATTGCGACTTTGGCGACCGACAGTGTGAGCCTGACCATAGGGTTTATTTTAGTTATAAGAAAGGTGTTCTGTATATAATATAGAAATTCTTTACCTACATGATGTGTGACGAAAACTAGGGTAATGAAGTAGCTTGCATTATTTTACTACTATCTTAGACTAACTTACCAACAGTTATATGTCAGTATCCATTGCTGGAAGTAGGGTACTATAGTCCAGTCATCTCGTGCATGGATTACAATTAACTAGAATAGTGTTGACGTAAAACGGTGCCTATACGAAACACTTACCCAAAAATGGTAATTGTCCCGCCCAAATAGATGACGCATTGTACTTCCTCTATAGGAGAGAGCTTGTTTGATTTACGCTCAGATATCATGATGAGACCCTAGGGAAGATATCACAGAGCGGCCCGTGAGGGGAACATCGTAGCCTCCTCGGCTGAGAGGCTGGGATAGAGACGAATGTAGTATTTAAACCGTTAGGTCTGAGTTGTAAAGGATGCTAAACTCAGACCGTGGATATTTTGATAACTCCTGAAGTTATAGTGTTCCTGGATTCAACTTTGTAGTTTGCTGTATTTGTTATATAAACTTAGTAACAACGTAAACGGTGTTCCAGAGTCAGTTAATAGATGATTAAAATAGTTATCACAACGTGAATTCGGAAGAATGTCCTAGACGATAATGTCACAGCTACCCCGTAGTGTCACGGTCGTTTTTATTTGGTACCGTGACACAGGATAGGATAGTGTTACAGCTAATCTCTCTTTGGTGCCGCTGACTGAAGGATGTCGACCATGGGGGAAATCCATGCAAGAAGAAGTTTCCAGTCGTTTTAGGTAGGTACATATTTCCTAGTAAACAGATCATGGAAAGCCTAAAAGACCAAGGGGTAGATTTAATGGCTTTTTAAAGGTTATGGATTTGTAAAAAAAATATAGGTTAAAAAGGACGATAAAAGTTACAATAATTAAATTAGGAAAATCTAAGGAAATAAGGGCCAAAAGTAAAGTTTAGAAAAAAAGGACGATCACACGGCTATTAAAATATGAAGCAGGGGGGGGGGGGGGGGTATGCGTCCCCCCCCCTGCAAAAAGTTTCGACACCCCCCCCACCCCTTGAAAAAATTATCGACCATAAAAACAATTGATATACATTGTCTGTCAATTTTACAGCAACCCTGAGGACATTTCCCACCCCCTCGTTGCTCTCAGCTAGTTACGGCCCTGCAAAGATCTCTACATTTAACATTTTTTCACTGATAATCAATTAAATTCCATCTTTCTTTCAGGAGTTATGATTATTTAAACTTGAAAAATTAATGTCAATACTTCACAACAAGTTATCCATATTTGTTTTATTTTCAGGTGAAATGTTTTGTGTCATACTGGATGTTGTTATTTGTATTACCTTTATCAACCTTGATCACTTTCATAATTACATTAATTAAAGGGACATCATGTAAGATTAGATAAGGAGCTAACATTTCTCACTATTATAGTTAAAAAGTAGCTAATGAAAATATGTGGAAAATTTCAGTCAAATTACTTCACCCTGAGTCGAGTTATCGTCCTTATAATAAATGTGTAGCCTCGATTGTCAATGCTACAGTGGTTACGATAATAAACAAAGTCTCGATTATCCATCTGTTGTATGGGTTAACATATGCAACAATAAACTGTAATATTCATATAACACAGTGCGATATTTTGTCGGGTGTATCATACAATAATTGATCGATCTATTCACAATATTTAGTTAATTACAATGGCCGATGGTCGAGTTACTGGATAAACAGACGACCCCATGACAGTAAAGTTCTGGTTGACGAACCAGGATACCGCAGAAGAGATCTAAGATGGTTCCTGTTTAGTTTCCTCTTGTTACTCGTGTACGGTGGCGGATCTCGCAAGCATCTCTTTGTTCGGACGACAAGTGTACCGTGGAGAATTTCGCAAGCATCTCGTTGTTCGGACTACTCGTGTACGGTGGATGATCTCGGAAGCATCTCTTTATTCGGACCACTCGTGTACGGTGGATGATCTCGCAAGCATCTCGTTGTTCTCACAACACGTGTACGGTGGATGATCTCACAAACATCTCGTTGTTCGGACAACACGTGTACGGTGGAGGATCTCGGATGCATCTCGTCACACCCGAGCGAACGACTATACGTTGTCCCTTGTCAGACTCTCCGTCCTACATCACTAATATAGCGCAAAGTCTAAAAGTTAAAGCCCACTGCAGAATTCATCAAGGTCGCGAGATTTAATCAGGAATAGAGCACGGGGTCTCCAGACTATAGGGAGTCTGTGTCTTGCTCACTAAGCACTGAGCCACCGTGTCCCCCTTTCCCTCATAGCACTCTGCCGTCATCAGGGGGTTGGATGGCCGAATGGTTAGCACGTATCATACGGTCTGTCATTGAGTCAACTGGCGGGGTTTCGATTCCCCGGTTTTACGTGACAAGGAGTAGGGTCGCCTGTCCATCCTCGTGGGTTTTTCTCCGGGTCCTCCGGTTTCCTCCCACTGCTAAAGACCCCTACGCGCAAGCGCATTATTGAAATATAATTAAACCATGTGTCTAGTGGACGTTAAACCTCACCTCTCTCTCTCCCTCTCTCTCTCTCTCTCTTTTCTCTCTCTCTCTGCCGTCTTCGTCAGTCAAGTTGGTGCAGAGAAGCAGGAAGGTAAAACCCATTTCATTCTATTCAATTTTGGGAAGTTCTTAATTTAGTTGGACTTTTATATATAATGTATTTACAGATTGATTGGCTATCTGTTCTTTTATACAAAATATATTTACAGATTGGCTATCTGTCTTTTTTTAAATCTTGTTTTGTTCATATCTTAGCTAACTAGACACAATGGTTATTCGAGTCATTGCGCTTCACCAGTTTTCCTGCCTTTTATTTAGTAAATTGATTTTCCGCACGACAATCTATTCTCATAGAAGTAGCTAATGATTTCCTGTTCAGCTTTTTAAAATGACTTTACATAAGTGTAGACGCTTCCAGTAGACTGAGTTTAATCATAATTTTACCGTCTTGTATATTTCCATACTAAACGTAAGCTGTCTGTCTACAGTTAACTCCGCTTGACAACAGACACTAAACTAGTTCCCCGACATTTTGAGGGTCGAATCGACGATTTTAGCCGACAACGTGAAGTATACTTCGAGAAATTTAAGAAGTATTTATTCCACTTCCATTTAAAGTAGCTAAGTCTCTAACTCAGTATCTTCCAAAGTCGTCGACATTGAAAACACAAATAATTTGTAAATTTAAATCAAGATGAGCTTCTGATATCCAATATATAGTACAAAATAAACACTTTACCATTGAACCATAATGGGTTTCAGCGACATTTGTAACCAGGGACTCGAAGACACATTCCTCAACTGATGTCAAACGGTGACGCCATACTCTTATCTGTATAGACTGGAATAACCAGACGCTAGAGATTGCCATTCGATTGAGACATCTGGCGTATTTCGCCGAACATAACTGATTAGCAATTAGGGTAAAAACGGAAACGATTGAATGTAAATCAGTGTATATACATTCATATTACATTATTGTATGCGTTGCGACCCATTTGTGTCAATTTCTAGGTCCCAAATATTAGTGTTTTAGCTCCTTTAACACAATTAAAAACGTTTATTTAATCGTTGTATGTATGACGCATGTAACACGGAGTAAAACCGCATTACAAAATAGTATATCAATTGTTTAGATATGGCTGCCATTCAGGACAGAGATATATTCTAGAAGTAGATAGTTCTCTGTGTACAGTATGGTTTATTTCATGTATTTTCAAATGACCCTACAGAGCATAGACTGTCTTTAATCAAAGAGTGATTATACATATATCTGTGAAGTATATTCAAATGACATTACATAAGAATAAAGCCTTTAATCGTAAATCTTTATTTTTTCTAGTTTCAAGGGAGCCGTGGTGACTCAGTCAGTAAGCCGCTGGCTCGCTAACCAATGGGTCTCTGTATCGCAGCCGGTGTTGGGCGAGAACAAACCTCGGGATTTACCGACAAGGTTTCCCCTATTTGCCAGTAGTGCAGGACTTAGGGTCTAGTTGTACGGATGGGACGTAAAACCAAGATCCCGTGTACTCATTAGAGTGCAAGTAAAATAACTTTTCGAATTAATTGTAGGTTTTAAAACCGCTTTCCGGGCAAAATGTCCATCAAAACTCACTACATGGCGTATGCCCACCTTACTTAATTCAGTAATAGCAGTAATTCATTAAGCCCCATGTTATTTTTATGTCTTTCCGGTTTATGTCATTAAAGTATTTTTGACTGTAGACGTCTGTGAAATTTAATCTTTGTTCTGGTCATATTGACATGTTATTGTGTAAGAGAAACTCTAATTATTCTCCCGTCCTTAAGCCAAGAAATAAAATACCAATGTTTAAGGTTACTTATTTTACTAATTTGTTTTTCTCGTAAGGATAGTGTTATATATTTCTTAACATCTCTTGCTTAATTACATCATTGGTATCCCCAGTGGTCGCATTCCGTTCTACTCCACTATACCCGGGGCTCATCCATAGGTTATGCATGTATTCAAATTACCTGGCCTTGGTCGTACCCTGATTCCAGGGACCAATCACAAATAGTTTACAAACCAGTCTTAGCCGCATTGCTTACGTTCACAATATGGCGTCTTGTTTGTTGCAACAATATGAGTGTTACTTCCCTTCGCCAACATCCTTTGTATTTAACGATTTCTTTAATTGGTCGATAAAAATAGCACATTCATCATGTCAAGGGCAGATAATTTGAATGCGTGCCCCCCCCCCCCTCATTGATGAACCCAGGGTTAGTGGAGAGGAACGAAATGAGCCCATTGCGGATACCGGGGATGGCGTAATTACTGAGTGTGGGTTTTCAGTGTTGAAATTTGTCTAAAGAAAATCACACCAAGACCGAGTAATAGGGCCTTTAAAATGAGAGAACAAAAATAGCGTGACAGTAAATACATGTATTTATTTTGTTTTAGCCTTATGTCTATATGCTTCACAAAATGATTATTTCTATGACTGAATTCCAGACAAGCATTTCTTAATCTTTAATAATGCTGTATTAAAAATATTACTGCCAGACGTATATATTCTTTATGGTTTTTAAAATGTTTTATTAGAATTATTTCTCTTCTTTGTTCATTTGTAGACAGCAGTAGATCCTGCTTTGATTAAAGAATTCTCCCTTGAGCAATTTGTCGAACTGGGAAACTACCAATAGCAACATAGGGGGAAGTCGGTATTAAAGCCTGCTGTGGTCATGTTATCATCGCGAGAAGTGGAGGAGACGTCAAATCTTTAAATCAATAAACCAATCAGAACCACTTTTAGATATAAAATGAAATGAAATGAAATGGGGTTTAACGTCCTACTGTTCTGCTCCTATACTGGGCTAATGAAGACGGGCATACGCCATACAGTGTGCTATGAGAGAAATTTTGCCCGGGCAGCGGCACTATCGCCTTCTCTTATATCGAATTCCAACTTCGAAGACTATTTATTATATTAAGATTATATTTGAAATAACACAATCACAGCTTTATTTACAACAATTACTAGCAACTTGAATAATATAACGTTTCAACAAGTGTCATCGTGTCGCTATCAAGCACCAGGTAAACGTTGATAACCACAAGAGGATACCCGTTGAAACGTTGCACTATTAAAGTTGCTAGTGATTGTTATATATAAAGCTGTGTTTGCGTTATATCAGAAAAACCTTAGTATTTTTTAATAAATTATTGCTCTTTAATTATCCAAAAGTTTTATTTTCTAAATTCAGTCTTTGGTTTAAGATATATAAGGCCTGCAATGATCGTAGAACGATCCTTTCCCCTGAGTCAACAACTTGAACAACATTAACGGCAGGGGGGGGGGGGGGGTGATTAATGCGTGCGCAGTGAATCATATGGTTTTCCATTGAGTCAAGTGGCATGGTTTCGATTCCCCACTTGTGCGTGACAAGATCACGTGAATTGGTTGACCAATCAGATTGTTTGTATTGGTCTGTGTTGAGTTAAACTGGTAGCTTCAATTTCAAAGAGTAGTAAGATGGGAGAGAAAGAGAGAGTTTAACGTCCACTCGACACGAACTTGGTCATTTTTGGGAGTAACATGGTTTATTTTTTTCAATAATTCGCTTGCGCATAGGGGTATTTAGCAGTGGGAGGAAACCGGAGGACCCGGAAAACCCCCACGAGGTTGGACACGCGACCCTACTCCTCGCCACGTACAATCGGGGACTCGAAACCACACCGGTTGACTCAATGACAGACCTTATGATACAGCGCGCACATGCTAACCCCCCAGTTAGATGGTACTAGTTTGGACAGCAGGAATATTCTACAGTACGACGACCATACTAAATAGATAGATTAAAGGCTGGCTTTCTGCTGGATTTACACAGCATACAATTTACAAACAAAAAACAACTAATAAAACCCCTAAAATAATCTTTCCATCTTGTACAGATGGATAGAAAGTTATAGAAATTTGTAGAAATTTATAGAAGTACATGGAAATTTATATAGAAATTTATTTATGTTACAAATATAGAAATGGATTTGCATAGATACAGACTTAGATAGACATGTATTTACATATATAAAAATATTTGACGTATCTTTACGTATATAAAAAATACTATAAAAAGTACTTTACGTATATAAAAAATACTATAAAAATACTTTACATTATAAAAAATACTTTACATTATAAAAAATACTTTACGTATATAAAAAATACTTGGCGTATCTTGACGTATATAAAAAGTCCTTTACGTATATAAAACGTCCTTTACGTATATAAAAAGTCCTTTATGTATATATAAAAAGTACTTGACGTATATAAAAAATACTTAACGTATATATAGAATTTGATTACGTAGACAGAAATGTATTTATAAAGATATATAGATACAGGAAATCACTTAAAATAGGCGTTAACAAAACAAGTCTCCGTAGGAGTTTTATTACGTAAGATGTTTTATTCTGTGTTGTTTACTTTTAAAATTATTAATAAATTTTTACTTTGTATATCCAATCTTATGTCGTGTATATCGTTTAATACAAAGATAAAACGGTTTCTACTGGGAAGAAAACCATTCAACTCAACATGTTTCATTTTCTATCTGTTCTCCCTGGAGATGTACATGAATAAAACCGATATTAATCCCGGAGATGTATTAAATAGTTATTCACAGAGAAACAATTATAAAATACACATTAAAGGACCCTGAAAAACATCTTGATCGGTCGTCATTATCGTAATAAAACAGATACATGCTATAGTTAATTCATATCTCATTTCCGGTGTTCATATCGAGCAACAATTTACTCCAGTCACGGAATTATAACATAGAGCTCACGATCTGTTGACGGTTGACATGTACTTCTATTGTGTTTCTTCAACTAAAATGAATTCAAAATTAAATTGTCCAACCCACATTACACCTTTACACTATAATATAATCGTATGTACAAAGATTTGAGGAAAATACTCTATACTACGGTCGTTACTTGTAAGAGAGGTGGGGGGGGGGGGGCGTTGATAGTGCACGAAATATATATACTCTTCAAAAAAAAGTAGGGGATATTGAAATGCAAATACCTATGCAAGTTGTGATATGATAAATAGTCATGGACACTTGACATGCGTTCAGAGTATGTTCACAGATGAAGAACTTATGCCCCAACAGAACCACTGAGCTGCACGTGCGACACCCAATAGCGCCATACACGTGGGAGGGGTTCATTGTCATATTTGACACTTTAAGGTAGGGTTGATGAAAACTGCCGCTTGCTGGTTTATCCTATCCGCGTTGGCTTTCCTATCGGTTCTTACATAAGATTTACTGTTTAGCGTATCTTTCCTTTAGTGTGTTACGTAGCACTGCAAGAGGAGTTGGTCAAATTGCCCCAAATCGTGATTGGACGGTTGATTAGGGGCATGCCACGAATAATTGCTAAATGTCTGATCATTGTTGGAGCAATTACTCATTATTAAGACACAAATCAAAAAACGTCCATTTTCACTTTTTATAGTGTATCTCTTTGCGAGTGAAAAGGGGCCGTCAGATAAACCGCCCATATGAACTGTTTATGTTCATGTATAGACAATTGGCCTGTTATTAACATACACTGGTTACCTCTAATAAAAACAGCAGTGCATTTTCGCAGTTTTGTATTGTTTCTGAATATCCCCTACGTTTTTTTGAAGAGTATATATAAGCAACATGGGTGGCTATTAAACATTTTTGGTGGACTAAAACTAATTCAATATTATGTTATCCACTATTTGTTTTTACATATTATGGAATGAGCACATAAAACCCATTGCCCGTATTTGTATTACAGTTGTCTGTGGGCGTTTTGGAGTAATTAAGAACTGAAATCATATTTGTGTTTTTTCGAAAGGAACCTATAAATTATTTTCTAAAATCTACACATTTGGTGCTTGGTCGCTTGACTTATTCTCTGTTTTATCTGTGTCTTCAAAAGGAACATACAAATCATTTTCTAGGATTTCCATTTCAGACGAAGCAACGTTTTGCTTTGTCCTGCTTTCCATGTCGGGTGTAGCAACGTTTTGTTTTGTCCCGTTGTTAGAAGCATTATCATATATACTGCTTGTCATAGGTTTCGACACCTCAACAGCAGAATTTTCAAAAGGAACATACAAATCATTCTCCATGATTTCCATATCTCCTGATGGTCGATGTTGTGGTATATTATTGGTTGTAGAAGCCACAGCACCAGTGTTATCTGGATTGCTGGATGCCTCGTAGGGTATGTACAGTTCGTTCTCTAGTATTTCCATATCTCCTGATGGTCGATGGTGTTGTATATTATTGGCTGTAGAAGCCACAGCACCAGTGTTATCTGGATTGTTGGATGCCTCGTAGGGTATGTACAGTTCATTTTCTAATATTTCCATATCTCCTGATGGTTGTTGATGTTGTGGTATGTTATTGCTTGTAGAAGCTACAGCACCAGTGTTATCTAGATTGTTAGGTGCTTCGTAGGGTATGTATAGTTCGTTCTCTAATATTTCCATATCTGCCATATCAGTTGCATTGCTCTTTGTTGCTTGTTCCGGTGGATTCCCATCAGTCACATTAAACCTTCTTCCGGCCTTATTCACAACGGCATATTCTGGTGTATGACCTGTTGCCAAGCCCGATGGATTGGTATTAATATTATCATGTTTAACATCCTCATCCTGGGTATTCAAACTTTCTAGTACGAAGTAATTTGGAGCAGTATTATTGTTAACAGTGTTGTTAATATGCACGTGCACATTCTGTTGTAAGACATTAGCCCTCCTTTTTCGTACTCTGAAAAAGATAATCATACAATGATTGGGTTTATAATATAAATATCGATATTAATCCATCTGAACGTATTTCACAATAATTTACTATATACATGTGTTTATACAGATTATAATCACCTAACATAAGATGGTGGAGATGGCGTCATTAGATCATTATATCGTGGCTGTGTTGTGGTTACGATCCCACTGTTAAATATATATACATAAGTTTAAGTTTAAGTTTATTACATTTAATATAGCGCTCATTACTGAAATACATGTATATATACATACACAAGAGTTATTGCAAAACGATTACCATATGTTCAACCAAAATGACCTGATTAGTGTCGACTGTACGTTAGTCTCGAAATGACCTGGTTATTATCGACTTTAGGTTAACCCCCATCGCCCGTGTATCCCCAATTAATAACGTAACTCAAACATACATTGATGGCAATATACAACTCCGCTTGTTGCGATACATTTGAGCAACTTCCCTTCCCAGCTATCCAGTCTGCTGGAAACAGTATCAGATATCATGACATATATTTTATGTCTAGATAGTATTAATTGTTTTAGGGGACATTATAAAAATCAATCTTACCTGAATAAAACACATACAATTACTACTATTAATATCAACACCAGTCCACCAACAACACAACCAACTATCAACAATAAATCTGAATAAAAGAACAATTCCACCTATCACATATACATCCAAATAAAAAGAAAACATCATTGGGAAGTTCATCCACCGGATTTAACACTACCATATGCATTTTTATCAAATTCTGAAACATAGCAGCTAGCCCTAGTTTAACCTTATTTATTAAAGAGTTTTTCCAAGCACTAAGTAATCAACGATTGTCACATATTCTGGGTGTCATCTTACTGTCTATTAATTACTTGGGGCGTCGTATCAGTTAACATTACAGGGTAAATATCACTGGAAGGGACAGTGTTTGTCAATAGGAAATTTAAATTGACTTTACTGGGTAAAATATCACAGTTTTACTATACGAAAGGCGAGCGAAGCAAGATGCCTTAATTTTGAGGGGCGTTAGATGACTATTAAGAAGACCATCGATACTTTGTAGATATAGGTACTAAATAAGATGAGTATTAGGAAGACCAGTTTCACATTGTCGATCTAGTTACTAAATAAGATTGACTGTTATTGATCGATGATACAAAATAACTCTGTATTTTCTATCATTTGGAGAGAAGATAAACATGCGGTTTAGCTCGTACCCCTACTTAAATATTATTATATCTAGTTACATTTACTGTTGCCTGTTTGTTGTGCTGCACTGTCTGATGGATTGGTCGATGTTCTTGATGTTGAACCAGATCGCAAATCTGAGGTGTTAGTTGATGTTTGAGATGAAGTGCTGTAGTTGGATGTGGTATTGGAATCTGTGTTATTTACTGTAGTGGGATGGGCAGTTGATGTTTCTGATGAAGTATTGGGGTCGGTTGCAATGCTGGAAGGTCTGTTATTTACTGTAGTTGTACTGGTAGAAATCTCAGTCTGTGTAGAAGATGAACCTGGAGTTGTAGTACTGTCTGGTTGTGGTGTGGTGGGTGTGGGTGAAGCAGTTGTTTCATTTATATTATTACAAGAACCCGCCAAAGATACACCTGTAAAACGTGGAGCAGAACACACTTACAACACAAGGTATGGATCGTTCATCTACTTTTACTTTATGGTATACCCGTAAAGGGTGTTAGACGACACCAGATTCAACTTTTACTGTTTCTATCTGGTACGATACGTTACAGAACTGAGCAAAAAAAAAGAAGAAAGGACTAACAACCAATCCGAATTACTTGTTCGACATTGAATTCATATCGAGTTTTCAATATTTACCTTGTATTTCAATCCATAGTTTTAGTCCATTTATTTGTTGATGAGTAAATATAACATCAGCTGTTGTTGATGTTGGTGTTCTTGTTGATTGTAGTCTGTGATTATAAATTTGTAAAGTGGATTGGGAGTTTTCTCTACTGGTTCTATTATAAGTTATATCACCATATTGTATAAATAAATTAGATCTTACTCCATCACTAGATGTTTTTAATCTAAGATCTAACATAGTTATAGATGTTATACTTGTACCATGTATATCACATTTACAACTTGATTCATTTGATTTAAAACCATTCGTAGTATTTGGATAATTATGTGAAAGCAGATATGTTTTGTTTTCATTTTCTTTTATTAAAGTTAACCAGTCTTGACACATATCCTGGCCATTTTCTTCTGTAATAGAAGACATAATATAATGATCAGTCAAATATCATCATTCATAACTCTCTAGGTACTTATAAATAACTTACAGAACAACGAAACATTTTTCATGGACATATTTACCTGTTTGACTTATATACGGAATGATTCACACTTTATTATATAACCACATAATTTAGTAGGTTTCGTCTTTGAGTATAATGCAAATTCAGATCTAATGTCGAGCCGCTACAAGGCATAAGATCTATGAAGAATTATAGATAGTGGAAATTTGACTGAATCAGCATGGCTACATGTATTTCATAATGCATGCAGTCTTTATTTTGAAATATCTCCATTAATCTTTATTAATCTTCTGGCTATGATAGTACCATATCTAATATTGTTTCATGTGGATAATTTTATCTCATTAGTGAAAAGGTGAGAATAAAATGGCTGGTGGAGACGTGCATAGACTTGTACAACTCACATACTTTCCATAATTTACATATATATCCTTGACGGTCACTTTTGCAATACTATGGGTTCTATTGACAAAACAAACCGCTCTAGTCAGTGATTGTGACACAGCTTTTGACAAAAAGAAAGGTCTTATAACAGATATCTAAAACCAGAGACAATGCGTTTTTTACACTTTTTAAATAAGATACTTCAAGATGGTATTATCGATGGTTGTGAAATAATACGTATTAATTATATGTTCTGGTTTATCGTATTTTTATAGCAACTTTTCGAATACAAAAACATAATATGGAACACAATTACTATTTTATTTAAAGCGGCGTTTCGTCGAGGGTTCTCTCAACGTTTTCAAGCAAATGATAGTGAAAATGGTAGTAGTATCTTGGTGTTTAACGTCTGCTTCCACATAAGTGATATCGCAGACAAGAAATAGGAGAGTCGAAACTGCTCCCTGTTTTTAGAATATGATTTTGCAATCTTTCCATTTTAGGCCTTAGGCAATGGATTGGGTTTTGTGGGAAGTTCTTCCCTTTATTTAGTAAAAAACATATCGTTGGTAGATGTTTTCTTCTGCTTCTGGATTGGTAGATGTCTTCGTTGTGGGATTAGTGTTTCGGTGCCAGGCCCGCCTTATCGTGACCTCCCCTTACTCCACAATCTCACTCTATGGGTTTGGTATCTGTTTCTTTTGCCGAATAGTGTTTAGGTCGCGAATCCGTCTGACCGTAACTCCCCTTACTCCACTATCCTGCTAGTTTGGTAGATGTCATATTTGTGGGATTTGTGTTTAGGTGTCAGGCCCGTCTTATCGTGACATCCCCTTACTCCCCTATCCCACTCTGTAGGTTTGATGTCTATTTTTTGCCGGAATAGTGTTTAGATGCCGAGTCCGTCTGATCGTGACTCTCCCTTACTCCACTATCCTGCCAGTTTGGTATAAATCCCCTATGTAGTTTAGTGTTAAGATGCCGAGCCCGTCTAACCGTTGCCCTCTCTTACTTCACTATTCTACTTAGTCCAACTGTGTCCATTAGGGCGTGGATTTGTTCGAAGATTTGCAGTTTCAGATCTGGTCTCGGGAAGAGTAAGTTCTTAGTGTTGAATGGTATGTTGTTAGTCTCCATCATTCTCACTAGTTCCCTTCTCTCCTCCTTGTATACCTCGCAGTCTACCAGGACATGGTTGGTGGTACATTCTTCTCCGTACTCACAGACGATGACTTGGTGTTTGTAGTCTTGCAGCCGCTCTTTCACCCTTAGTTTCGATATAAGTCTGCATATATCTCTTCTAGGGTGATTGATCGCTGTCTTCGTGTAGATTTTGTCATCAAGTCGGAATCTGTATGTGTCAAGTTAAACGAGTTTTAATTCCCAGAATGAATTGACCTGTCTTTTAACCATACTGTAGATTTCCGTGGTGCTGTAGTCTATGGTGCGGAGTGGCGCTGTGTCCATGAGACCTTCGTTGGCGAGTCGATCTGCCCCCTCGTTTCCTCTAATGTTGACATGTGATGGAATCCACACGAGCTCTAATTTGCTTCCCTTCTCCCTTCTCTATGGCCCTCTGGTACAGCTGCCTGATTTCCAAAATGACTTCTGGTCTTGAGTCCGAGTTGTCATTTTGGATTGAAATCAGACTGCTCAGAGAGTCGCTTGGAATGACGAACTTACTAGTTATTGGGCAGTTTCCTGCTTATTCCATGTTCCCCGTTTGACAGATATATTCCAAACGAGCTTGTGCCACTTTCAGGGTTGCGTGAGCCATCCGTGTACACATGGTCCCAGTCATCAGACGGCCAGTTGTCTTCCAGGTATTCTAGAGAGAAAGCACGTGCAGCAGTGGGGTTGTTTTTCTTGTCGGTTTTCTGTAGTAGATCTAGATTGACCGGCGGTATAGGGAGCGTCCAAGGGGCGATTGCTGAGGGGGGAGGGGTCGTGTTCATTTATCACGAGCTCCCCCAGTCGCAGTTCCTTGATTGTTTCCCTGATACCCTGGCCGAAGCTTTTCTTTCTAGGATCTCTCACATATCTTGTCTTTTGTAGACTCACAAAAGTAGCGGATCTTTCGCCCAGTTGCGAGATCTTGGCCCAATACCTTGTCGCTAGTTTTTTTCTTCTTAGGGATAGGGGCAACTCCCCGGCTTCCTGTAGTAATGCCTCTCTCCTAGTCCCAAGCCCTACGCCAGTCGCAATACACAGAGCTTTGTATTGGATGGTGTCAAGCTTACTTAAGAGTTTTGGCGCGCAGTTCATGAAGGCCAAAGAGCCGTAGTCTAATACAGAGCGTATTAGAGCACGATACACCATCATTAATGTAACTCTATTGGCACCCCATGTGCTACCCGTTATTGTTCTCATTAAGTTTAGGACTTTGGAGCATCTATCTACAGTCAAGTCGATGTGCGGTTTCCAGGTCAGCCTTCGGTCAAAGATTATGCCAAGGAACTTGGTTTGGTCTTTAAACTCGATGGTTTTCCCGTTCATACACAGAGTCATTCTGCTTATCCCACTATCCCTGCTCACAAGCATACCGACCGTTTTCTTCTCTGAGACTTTAAATCCCCATGCGTTTGCCCATGTCATGAATTTGTCTAAGGCCTTTTGCATGTTCTTTTGAAGTTCACAAAAGCTCCTCCCTTTCCTCCATATGGTACTGTCAGTTCTGGCATCGAGGTAGGACGATTTTTGTATGTCATTGATCATGATATTGAAGAGGGTGGGACTGATGACGACCCCTGAGGCGTGCCATTTTCTAATGTTTCATCGGCACTCAGGAATCTGCCAACATTCACCTGTATCCTTCTATCGCCCAGAAAGCTTTTGATCCACCGAAACATTATGCCCGTTATCCCGATACGTCCCAACATAAAAGGCAGCCCGTCTAACCAAACCAAATCGAAAGCCTTGGTACATAACAGGCACCCCGAGAGGAGTGCCTGCGACATAATTTGCTGTGTGCGTTGGTTTTCTATATACACTGGTTTATGTGATTACAAATTAATTTATAATAAGTGAAGTATAATAAGTGAATATAATAAGTGTTTTCCTATCTTTTGTTTTTCTCATCTACGAAACAATTAATATGTGGTTCCCCATATAATTGTGTGCTACTATATAATTACCCTCTATATATTTTTATAAGTTTCCTTCTGATCTGTTACTATACTAAGGTTATGATAAAGTCTCAGCTAACCATTATTGGCTAATCAGATGTAAATTATTTTGTATGTTATTATAAGTTTCCCTTTGACCTGTAACTTTACTATTATCAGTGGTTTCCCAATATGGTTTATTGGCGATAATTAGTTGTTATATATTTTGTGTATATGGTTTCATAATCTCTTATTCCTATATAGAAGATTGACTTAATATATTAAATGGTTTCCGTATTGATTAAGATTAATAAGTTGTTACTTGTTTTTGTATATAAACCATCTGTACATTATTTTCACTAAACGTCGTATCGTCCAATCAGTCTCACATCAACTCTATGCAAAACATTAGAAACAATAATTACAAACAGACTTAAGTATCACTGTGAAAGCAATAATATCTTCACAAATCGGCAAAGTGGCCACAGCTCCGACAGGTCTACTGCAGACCATATCATCAGATTGCAACATGACATCTCCAAAGCATTTACAGCCAAACAATACCTTTGTGCAATTTTCGTCGACTTAACAAAGGCCTTTGACCTTGTATGGGTGGACGATCTTTTATATAAACTCCACAACGCAAAAATCAAAGGCCGAATGTACAAGTGGATAGAAGACTTTCTCAATGATAGGCATATCAGAGTACGCGTAGGGAACTGTCTGAGCGAAAAATTCAAAATGGAAAACGGAACACCGCAAGGATCCGTTATCAGTCCAATACTTTTCAACATAATGATAAATGATCTTCCTAGTTATGGGGGGAAGGACACAGAATCGGCGCTGTTCGCAGATGACAACTCGTTCTGGAAAGCATCAAAGGATATAGGCAAAATCAAAAAATCACTGCAATACATTTTAGAACAAATTTCTAAGTGGGCAAATGGGTGGGGGTTTAAAATATCAGAGGGAAAGACAGTAGCAATGCTGTTCCATCCGACCGATAGCAATAGGAAAATTGATTTAAATCTAAACGGCACGAAAATTGAATTTAAAACAGAGGCCATTTTTCTTGGCATGCCATTCGACTCTAAACTATTTTGGAAGCCTCATATCGATGGCATAGTAAGTCGCACATCGAAAACACTCAACATGATGAAATGACGCAATGGGTCGCCAATAGGAGCACTCTTATGTTAATATACCGAGCACTCCTCCGCTCGGTAATAGACTACGGATGTCTGGCTTATGCAAATGCAAGTGATATACAACTAAATAAACTAAACACAATACAAAGTAAAGCAATACGACTAGTAACGAGAGCAGCTATAGGAACCAAAACAGTTGCCATATTACACGAGATGGGAGAGCTTCCGCTTGATCTCAGGCGCGAGGAACTGTCACTCAAGTATTGGGGTAAACTACAAATGCTAAAAGAAAGATGTCCGACATATAAGTGCCTCAAACAATTTAAACGAATAGGCTTCAGGAAAAACAATCGCCCCACTCCTTGAGTAGCATCAAATCCATAGAATCAAATTCCTCCAAAAGCCGGCAGGACATAATCCGTCAAGTTAGGGACTTAAATCAAAAATTCAAGAATAATGGGAGAGAGGTAGTCCTTGCATGGATCCCCTACCACGTTAATATTTTCGGCAACGAACAAGCAGACAAACTAGCCAAGGAGGGGTTGTCACTAAACGAACTAGAAAATTTAGAATATAGCAGTCAGGAATTTGCAAGTATAGCAAAAGAGAAGATTAGAAATGCATGGAAAGCCCGTCTAAAACAAACAAATACTCATCGCTATCAAATAGATTGCAATCTTGTAGACAAGGTTTACATCAATCACCCTTCTATCAAAATATGCGAACTCATCACGAGGCTTAAAACAATAAACGTAGTCAAAGACTACACCTATACACCAATTAAATGCCCGTGTGGACAAATTGCAAGCACCTCACATCTGCTAATCAACTGCAATCAATTAAACAATGAACGTTAATCAATGATTGACAAACTGATAGAGAGGGGAAAAACCCTCTGTCTCAACTCTCTCCTTTCTCCACAGCCTGAAGATAGATACTGGACATCTCAGCTGGTCTGGGACTTCATTGAAAATATAGGCATGACCAAACACATATAATAATAAAACCAATCAATTAAAACACACTCAGTAGGGCGAAACGCAACAACGTCCCCTAGAGGGAAGCGCCAATCACCCTACACTACTAATAAAACTACTATGAAATTAATGAATTAAAATACACTAAGTAGGGCGGAGCGCAAAAACGTTCCCTAGAGGTAAGCGCCACCCGTCCTACATCACTAATAAAATTATGATAAAATTAATGAATTGAAATACTCCAGTAGGGCGGAACGCAAAAACGTCCCCTAGAGGGAAGCGTCACCCGTCGTACACCACTAATAAAACTTTAATCTAATGAATCACGGTGTTAGCGTAAAAATCTCCCCATAGAGGGAAACGCAACACACCCTGAAATATATTTTACTATCTCCTTTTGACTAAATAAATATTGATTGTAGATCATATTAAGCTATCATATATGCACTATTGTATTTTTTTTTACTCTTAATAAGAATTGAATGTAAATTATATTAACTTGTCATAAATGCAAATTGATTTTCTTACTTTTTTATATTTTATTATTATTATTATTATTATTATTATTATATGAAATGAAATATTTTTTTTTTTATATTATTATTACTCTTATTATTATTATTAATAAATACTCCCCCCCCCCCCCGAAGCCTTAAAACCCAAAACCACCGTAAGACCAGATACTCTCTTTTCTCTCTCCTTCTTTTCAAGGACTGGATTATTCCTTCAGGGAACCAATAACAAAAGGAATGAACAACAGAAATAAAGATGAAAACAATACCACCATACCGGACAACAAACCCAAATGGAAGGAAGAATGGACCAGGCCTTACACTCACGAACAAGCCCCAAGGAAGAGTTGCACCGCCCTGCCATTCAACCGGACAGAACGACCAGACCGACTAAAACGACCCAAGATATATAAATATATATTATGTACATAATATGTTTAAATGTTCGTCCACTTTCATGTCTGTTTTGTCAAAATGTCCGTATATAAATGTTTATGTCTGTCTGTCTAAATGTTCGTCCATATTCATGTATGTTTGTCAATGTCTGTGATTGTCCCTACTAGCACCTCATTACTTTGCTCTTGTTATATCATGTCTCGTCCTCCTATCTATTGTCTTCTGTACATATATATAAAAACCTAACTATCCTTTAATTTTTTCCATAATCACATTGTAAATATTTTCACTATGTATATATAACATGTAATTGTCTGCGATATCACTTCGGTGGAAGCGAACGTTAAATAAAGCTATTTCACACATATTTTCACTATCATTTGCTTGAAAACGTTGAGAGAACCCTCAACTAAACGTCGCTTTAAATAAAATAGTAATTGTGTTCCATGTTATGTTTTGTATTACGTATGTCAATTGCTAAATGCCACTCAAAGAAGGAACTTTTCGAATATTTCCTTGATATTTACCGACTATTCGAGTAGTGATTTAGTTCGAATGGCAGAATACTAATAACCACATAAAGTCAATGTGTATATATGTTTACTTACTTGGAATACATCTATAGTTAACAGTACTTCCTGTACAATTACTATAATTAGGTATATATTGTAAACATGGTGATGGTTGTCCAATACAAGATGTTATTAAACCTGTATCACTATTAGTCAATGGTTGACCACATATCTCTGTAGAACTACCACCACAATCAGATCCTTGATTATAAAAATACCCAATACTCTCTACATGTATCATATCATCATTGGTAGGACAAGTCAGATTCACTGATGGGAAGTTTCCACCTTCTTTACATACTGTAATATCTATACCTATATATAAGATAATATAAATACGTTAAACAAGCTGGGTTAGCTATATATAATATCTATACCTATATATAAGAAAATATAAATATATATAAATACGATAAATAAGCTACGTTAGCTATATTATTAAATATAACTAATAGAAACCATATCTAGATAAACAGACTGAGAGTAATCCCCGCACAACATATAGAAATTATAAATTAAATGAATTAGAATAGGGTTCCGGGGATTCACGGTGGCTAAGTGGGTAAGGCCCTGGCTCGCAAGCCTGGAGGTCACGGGTTCGATCCCTGCATTGGCCGAGAAAGTTCATCGGGATTTTCCGATGTGGTTCCTCCCTTGTCAGTGGTGCAGAACGGAGGGTCTGACAAGGACAGCTGTCTAGTCGTTCGGATGGTGCGAAAAAACGAGGACCCGGAGAAGACCCACGAAGTTAGATCAGTGAACCTACTCCTTTGCACGTACAACCAGGGAATCGAAACCACACCAGTTGACTCAGTGACAGACCTTATGATACAGCGTGCACGTGCTATCCATTCGGCCATCCACATCCACCCACTAAGTATCCAGTATAATAAACATATTAATAGTTTGTGTATATTCATAACAGTAAGCTATGAATCCAGTATAATAAACAAATGAACTCACCATCTATAACCTTCGTACAATGACAGGAAACGATCAGGATCACCCAAACCCTCATTATATATTTACACACTTTCACGTAATATAACTTATACTAAATATATGACTGTTTAGTTCACGTTATATATCATACACTATATACATGATCGCTTGATAGAAAGATTTGAACACTTGAAATCAACAAGGAAGTTTAATGTTGTTTGAGGTTATTGTATGGGGAGCAAGCTTTCGCAGTCTACATAACCTTTGCCTTTCTTTCATGACACATATTCAGCTATACAAAGTGATATGACGCATATCAGTACATAGTGAATCAGATATTAAAATGAACAACAGTATTTTTAGTCGTTGAGTTAGGGTTAACCCTAGTGAATTGCATATTGAAATCAACAACAGTTTTTTTAGTCGTTGATGTCTAAAGTTACAATACGTCTATACAATAACCTGTCGTTATTTATCATGGTTTAGTCATACTACAATTGATACATTATTCGAGGCTTTGAGCAAGTAAAATTATAAATATAAGGTTCAATTGTAAAATGTTCAACACACATCATCACAGTTTGCAGGAAAATAAGTAATTATGTTACAAATAGTGAGGAGTGGAACACTGAAATCATAATCTTATCTTACCGAACAGTTGTTCTGTATTTTCGACTGACATGAAATCACGTGATTCTGGTTCGGCGGCCATTTTAAAATGAATAGAAATTTCGCATAGCAGTTGTGTTTAATCAAATCATATAATCATATGGTAAGGTTTCACCTTTATTTCAATGGGAATTGGTTCATTATATGTTAAGCTATGTACAGTACAGTTTGGGGTCATGAGTGTTATTGGAAATTAAGAGAGTTATAGGCCAGTAACTGTTTTGTAGTCAAATAACTACAAAACTTGTTCAAATGAAGGCCTTAGGACGGTCCACTGCTGTGGCTGAAGCAAGACGGAAGACATCAGTAGTGGAACCATTTGTAAGCCGTGACCATAAAATAATAGATATACATTGTCCGTCAATATTACAGCACCCCCGAGAACACTTCCCGCCCCCCCCCCCGTCGTTGCTCTGCGCTAGACGGCCCTGCTGCGCTGTACAGTAATTGAGACTCCAAGACGTAAGACATTCTGGACTATATGTCTATTGTTTATCTCTCTATAATGCCATTTACTTTACCGGTTTTCTCTCAATGCTAAAGACCCCTACGCGCACGCGAATTATTGAAATAAAATTGAACCATGTGTTAGTCCCGAAATGACCTAGTCTGTGTCGAGTGGACGTTACCCCGCCCCCCTCTCTCTTTCCCTCTCTCTCTCTCTCTCTCTCTCGCTCATTTACTTTAAACCAGCGTTATTGTGGTAGCAAACTAATTTTAGAATTATAGTTTTCATAGGCTGTATTTGAGAAATATATGGGTCGGTTGATAAGTGACCATACAATAGTATGTTTTAACACCATGTAAATACATGACGTTGTTGATTTGTATGAATTTAATACTATTATTGTTACTTTAATATAAGGGGAGTTTTCAAATTCAACTTTATCCTGACAACTCATAAATTTACAATAAAATACTGACTGTATCACATGTATGTAATAAAACCATGACACTGTAATCATATATTTTTACTTTTAATAAAAGACTGGATGTCACGGTATTAGACGTATGTAATAAAACCATGACATTGTCAGCATGTATTTTTACTTTTAATAAAAGACTGGATGTCAAGGTATTAGACGTATGTAATGAAACCTTGACACTGTGAAGATGTATATTTTTACGTCCACGTGATCCCTGGTTAGTTACACTCTAGACATGTTCATCGTTATTTAGTTGATTTGTAAAAGGTTAAAAGTATTGGCATCGAATGGTCTAAAGTGTTGCGTTACATATCTTCACCACTATGATCTCATCATTGATACAAAGGCTTGGTACCGACAGGTCTAAAGTGTTGAGTTACATGACTTTGGTACGAAGGAAGATATGCTTAGTACCAAGTAGTCTAAAGTTTTAACGATGCAGATGTTCAGTTAGTCACCTGATATAATCGTATGTTTAATACAACGACTGTATTTTATAAAGGCCTTGCATATCATATTGTGTTTTGTGCATGGTTTCCCGTTTGTCGGTTTAATTCCATTCAAATCATTATTGAATGACTTTACCCTGCCCCTCCCCTATACTACTCTCTCGCTTTATTGGGTTCACCTCTCTTTATTCGTTGTAATATAATCTATTGCTCGTGTTTATAATAAAAACTTTCACCCTATTTATTATTACTACCTTGTTGTATAACTTGGCTATATACACGAATAAAGACACCGATTTCACAAGATGGCGGCTTCTAAAGCTCATATGTTATATATTTATATGGTATATATAGTAGGATATACGACAGGTTGGTATATATTTATAATGGTATATATAGCAGGGGATATATAAAGGGGGAAATATTTGTTTAAAATTATTTGATGACGACTGTTCTGAATATTATTACATGGTTGAAGTTAATATGTCTTTATTTCAACAATTTAAAAAATGTCAATACTTCCGCCACTCTCTATTGGGCACAAATCATGCGTGATCTTATTATTGTTAGTACCTATATTCCCCACTTCGACCTTGTCATAGTGTACCATACTATAGGGCCTATATACTGTAGATGTTATTTAAGATGCTCTGGTTAATGTATTGAAGTCGTTAGATAGTACCAGCGACAACGAGATCTAGGCTAACAAGGATATGTCTGGTAGTTTAAAATCGGGCAATAACACCATAGTCTGGTAATCCAAATATGGCAAGCCCATGCTTTAGAAACGTGGACACCCGTCCTCCTGGGTGCCCATATAAGTACACTGTGCTGAAATTCAGGGTAGCTTCTGTGTAGCTGACCAATCAGATATAGGAAGTACCTGGTCAATTTCCCGGGTTCAGTCCATGACTCATGCACGTATCCTCTTTATAAATGACCTTCGATGTTTGCAACCTATGTATCCAGTGCTTGCCATAGAATGTAAAAACGAATTGGGGTATTGTTATTGCTGTGCGTAAACCGAATAATTGGAGCAAGATACAAATTCACAACGTGAGCTGTCGAGTGACATTTAGAGACACGCTTTAACGGCCGAGATAAAGATATATATATACACAATGTTTAAAGTGTAGTCCTGGAGTAAAGAATTACAAAAATAACCAGAGACAAGGCTATTATAATATGTAGTAGAGAAGAGAGTATGCGTCACAGGTTGGATGTGGAGAGCTTTTTGGTAGAGTGCCTTTCCACATCTAACCAGCGACTCATGATACTACATCTTTGATTTAGGTGCCGAACTGCATAGTGCTATATCGCACTTCAATATGGTTTATTCAATGATAAAAGGAGCTCGATATCGACTCCCATCTGGCGAATTCAGGTTTTGGGGCGTCAACATAAAACAATGATGTTATAGTGTGTTACTACGAGGATCTAACATAACATAATCCCTAGTGTAGTCAATTAACTAAAAGTCAAATAAATTTCACATTTATTGTGGACAAATATCAAGAAGGAAAATTACAATACAAAGTCTTGATTTCATTTCCATCTTCTTCAGTGGTCCAAAACCTACTGCTAAACGTTTTCAGATAATCTTCCTTATTTGTTATATTTAATAATATAGCTAACCTAGCTTGTTTATCGTATTTATTAATATTCACATTTTCTTATTTATAGGTATAGAAATTACAGTGTGTAAAGGAGGTGGAACCTTTGAACCTGTAGATCTGACTTGTCCTACCAATGATGATATGATACATGTAGAGAGTATCAGGTATTTTTATACTGAAGGATCTAGTTGTGGTGGTTCAACAGTACCATGTGGTCAACCATTGACTAATAGTGATACAGGTTTAATAACATCTTGTACTGGACAACCATCACCATGTTTACAATATATACCTAATTATAGTAATTGTACAGGAAGTACTGTGAACTATAGATGTATTCCAGGTGAGTAAACATATTTAGATATTGACTTTATGCAGTTATATAAAACACACACAAAATATATCAACACCTGAATGTGTATGTGATCAAGATTAAATATCTTCCAGAACGTAACACAGCTAGCATACCCGATCAAACAATAGCATTATTATTCAGATGAGGGTCTTGCGATAATTTTACATGGAACATTATGTTGAAACTGGAGTTGCCACTATATGTGACCCCCCCCCCCCCCATAGCATACTGAGTCACAATGTGGAAATTTTGAAAATTGAGTTATTGTTATTTTCATATTCTCCAACTCATTACCTTCAATTTGATGTATATTTTGTTTGAATTAGGCAAAAATTGACTGAGCTGTATCCATTAGAAGCTACCCAACTCACAAAAGTTAGTCTTGAGAAAAAGCAAATCAAAGATTTGGTATGTTCCAAAACAAAATCCCATAGCAACCAGGCCATTTATCTGCTGTTTTGTCGTTGAATATATCTTTCCATGGGCTTTCAGGGGTGCTGAAGACGAAAATCGTAGTAAAAATTTGATCCGACTATTTCCGCAATTTATTTGCTATTTTGTCGTTTAATGTGTTTTTTATTTAGGATTTCAAGGGTGCTGACGACGAAAATCGTAATAAATGCACTTCTTTCGTAACGAAACATCCACAACACATACGGCATAATATTCACATGATAGTGTTATACTGAAGAACAATCTATACATTAGTAGTTGTTGTGTATATTATAACTTTGGTGAGATTAGATTAACTCAGTTAATCTCATCAATTAATTAGCGCCTTAGTGCCAGCTAGTGGTCAGGAGATTAAAGATTGTTGATTGGATAATCATCAAAGAGGCCGACACAGCTGTACGCGTGTTCATTTAACACGTGAATTAAAATAAGATTTTGCGTGTACGATAGGTCTATTATTTTTTTAAGGTACCGTGACGTTTTCAAAATATAAGTCCCTATAGAAATGTCAATTTAATAGTCAAGAAATGCTTACGTTCACTTTCGTGCATTTGGCGTTGATGTAAATATCAACATTATTCAGAGGATACTCAATGGCAGACTCGAGAATCGTCGCATTTTGGCTCGTTGGTCGTTCTCATTTTTTCGACCCATAGTGATAAGAGAATTTTAAACAATAATATCCCAGATGCATTCCTTACTTTGCACGCCGTATGAAGAAGCGACAGTAAACGGAATTCAGCTATCAATAAAATTCTCGTCGAAAAGAAAATTATTGGCCATTTTGTTTATTTCCAGTTAAGGCCTATAGATTATTTTTTTAAAGATGATATGAGATATCAAATAATCACCACTTGGATTAATTATTCGGAGTAAATAATGAGTTGTCGACGGCTTTATCATTGACCCGTGACAGTTGGTTAGTAATAGTATTACTCAATGACACACACCCGCTTGTCGATTAATTTATATCATCAGCCACGTGGTTTCGATTAACACTCAACGGCAATCTATATACGATCAGAATTATTTTTTTTTTCTGCCACTTATCAGAGTGAATCGCATGAAGTTACCCAAAAACATTATCGCCAAAACCAAATATGTATCGATAATGTCTTGCACGCGGTGTCTGGGCCAATCAGCAAACGAGTTGTGTAGACAGCATGGCAACAGGCGGAGTTCATTTATATTTTTGGGCCGTTTTAAAACTCGATTGTATCCGTTCAAAATCAATTCATCGACAATAACTTGATCATATTTGTAAACTAGAGATGCTCCGCTTTACAACGATGCCAATTATTATGCAAGAGGAATGACCGGTCGTCCCGCTGCGAGCGAAGAAAAATAACTAATTTCGCCGCGAATTTTAAGAAATAGGACAGATTTAAGAATACGGTACTCTTACAAAACGTTCAAATACAGGTGTTTTAAAATGTTTTATTGCTATTTTGATCTTTTGTGCCGTTAGATAGTATATTTATAGACTCTTTTTTGTGAAAATCTCAATTTCGATCAAAATCAATATTTTCAGTTATTTTGTCTTTATCTCATTATTGGTTCGCGCGCATTCCGACTCATTTAGCTGCGGCCGGTCACATATTATGTTTTCTATTATAGGAGAAAATGGTCAGAAAATTTGTCAAAGCAAAATAAATTTTTCAGAGAATGCAGGCGGAATATCTCTGTTTTCACCAAATTATCCAAGAGCAACGAGTGATTTTAAACTAAATGAAACAAGTTGTGAATGTTTTATACGTGGTACATTTATAACATCTATAACTATATTAGATCTTGGATTACAAACATCTAGTGATGGAACAAGATCTAATTTATTTATACAATATGGTGATATAACTTATAATAAAACCAGTAGAGACAACCCCCAATCTACTTTACAAATTTATAATCACAGACTACAATCAACATCAACAATAGCTGATATCATATTTACTCATCAACAAATAAATGGACTAAAAGTATGGATTGAAATACAAGGTAAATATTAAAACCTTATATCATCCACCACTGTAATATTTAAACCACATATTGTCTAACACCCTTCACAGGTTTACCATAAAGTAAAAGTAGATGAAAGACCCATGCCTTATGTTGTTTGAAAGCCGGTTTATTCTCTTTTTTTTCAGGTGTATTTTTGACAGGATTCTGTAATAAACCTGTAACAAGTGTTTCACCAACACCCACCACACCATTTACTTCCCCACCAAGACTAGACAGTAATACACAGGGTGAGATTTCTACCAGTACAGCTACTCATCTCACTACAATAAATAACATGGCTTCCAGCAATGTACCCGATCCTAGCACTTCATCTGAAACATTAACTGACACCTCAACACCACAAACAGCAACCAATCCAGTGTTAAACCCTTGAATATAATTAAATATAATTTTTATATATGTTGTTCGGGGATTACTCTCAGTCTGTTTATCTACATATGGTTTTTATTTGTTATATTTAATAATATAGCTAACCTCGCCTGTTTATCATATTTATATACATGTATATTTATATTATCTTATATATAGGTATAGATATTACAGTATGTAAAGGAGGTGGATACTTCCCATCAGTGAATCTGAATTGTCCTACCAATGATGATATGATACATGTAGAGAGTATCGTGTATTTTTATAATCAAGGATCTGATTGTGGTATTTCTACAGAGATATGTGGTCAACCATTGACTAATAGTGATACAGGTTTAATAACATCTTGTACTGGACAACCATCACCATGTTCACAATATATACCTAATTATAGTAATTGTACAGGAAGTACTGTTAACTATAGATGTATTCCAAGTAAGTAAACATATTTAGATACTGACTTGATGCGGTTATATAATACACACATAAAGTATATTAACACCTGAATGTGTATATGCTCAAGGTTGAATATCTTTCAGGACGTAATATAGCTGGCATATCGATCGGATCAAACAATAGCATTATTATTCCAATGGGGTCTTTCGATACTTTTGCGTGGAAAATTATGTTGAAACTGGAGTTGCCACTATATTATGTTTTTTCTATTACAGGAGACAACGGTCAAGATATTTGTCAAAGCAAAACAATTTCATTATATAATTCAGCCAGGATATTTCTATTTTCACCAAATTATCCAAATGCTACAGGTAGTTTTAAACTAAATGAAATGAGTTGTGAATGTGATATACGTGGTACAAGTATAACATCTATAACTATATTAGATCTTAGATTAAAAACAGATAGTAATGGAGTACGATCTGACGTATTTATACAATATGGTGATATAACGTATAATAAAACTAGTAGAGAAAACAACGGATTCTCTCTACAAATTTATAATTACAGACTACAACCAACAACACCAACATCAACAGCTGATATCACATTTACCCAACAACAAATAACTGGACAAAAACTCTGGATTGAGATACAAGGTAAATTCAGTGTCTAACAACTACTAACAAGTAATTATGATTGATCGACAGTCCTTTCTTTTTTATTTGGCTCAGTTCTGTAACGTATCGTACCAGATAGAAACATTAAAAGTTGGATGATGTCGTCTATCGTCCTCCACAGATATACGATAAAGTAAAAGTAGATGAACGATCCATACCTTGTGTTGTTGTAAGTTTGTTCTCCTCCACGTTTTCAGGTATTGCTTTGGCATGGTTCTGTAATAATATATCCACAACAACTATTTCACCCACACCCACCCCACCAAGACCAGACAGTACGGCTACTCCAGTTTCATCTTCTACAGAGACTGAGATGTCTACCAGTACAGCTACTCATCCCACTACAGTAAATAACCGTTCCCCCGGCACTGCAACCTATTCCAGCACTCCATCTGAAACATCAACTGACACATCAGACATCCCACAAACAGGAACCAATCCATCAGACAGTGAAGAACAACACACCGACAACGGTAGGTTTAAATGGAAATCCTAAAACTAAATAAGAGTACGATTAAAATCGCTTCTGTGTCTTTTCTACAAATGATAGAAAGTACACGGTAATAACAGTAACATTTAATTTTATTCAGCAATTAATAATGTTTCAATATACGGACAATGTGAGATAGCCCCTGATAACTAATGTTTTCAACGTGTTTGTGCCTCGCGCCGCTCGCCTTGTAAATTAAAGGAAACTATTGTAATTTTATCAAAGTTTGAATGTATTACTATTTATTTCAGATAAAGATATCGCCATCATTGTTTTGGCTATATTATCTTTTTCATTGATACTGGTCATAGTTTTATATCTCATGTACAGGTAAGATTATTATTGTTTAGCTTTCGTTTAATATTCACAGCTTCTAGTCGTTCGGATGGTACGATAAACCTGGATCCCGTGTACACACACTTTAGCGCGTACTTAAAGCGAGAATTTCTTTTTCTAAGAAAGTCAAAACATAATTATTTCTATGTCTGTTGCTCAATAGGTTGTCAACTCACTATTATACGATCATAGTTATCATTCTCACACTCAAAAATGTTTCACACCGGAAATAATAACACAATTACCTCCTAACCTCCCTTGCTTTTCTATTCCCTACCATGGAATAGCTATCTTCAAACCTTTGAATTTGAAGTTGAAAATGATATTTTTGTCAATTTCTCAACGGGCAATAGTGAATTATAGAATTAATAGGATTATTCTTTATCAAGGTAGGACTGTTTATACAAAGCATCGATTTTAAGGCTTTATTTAAATACATTTTAAAAATATAACTTAAAAATATGAAATTGTAGCTTTAAAAGAAATCGCAAAGGATTAGGCACACGGTGTGACTTATGGTAGTCTTCTATTAGCACGATTGGTTTAGAAAATTAGGACGCTAAGCTCCGTTTCATTTCTGTAGTCCTTCAACACAGTTTACAACTACAAGTGTTATAATACGTTTTCGTATTTTTCTTGTTACAGAAAAGGTAAATTAAGTTGTCTAAATCAACCAGGTAATCCTGAAACGGAGAATTCAAGAACGACAACTCCGTCAGAACCTTGGACTACTTACAGTAATCTATCTAATACAGGCAGACATAATAGTGATTACCAGGAATTACAAACCAGGAATTCAAATTATCCTTATAATAATCTTCCATATTCTGGTAGAAGTGAGGTAGAACCAAGTGGTAACTATAGTAGTCTATCTGATGGTAACAGGCGTGGTACAGATAATAATAATTACCTAGAATTACAAACAAGAACTCCTTCGTCACCTTATAACAATCTCCCCTATACATATAATAATCATTAATTATCGCATTTATACCCCCCCACCCCACATACTAGTGAATCATCATACATATACCAATCAATATTTATCATATATATATACTAGTGAATATCATACATATATCAATATTTATCATATATATATACTAGTGAACATCATACATATATTAAACATACATTAGGGGAGATTAGATAAAGAGCTGGCAGTTAAAAACAAGATAATGTAAAGATACATTGTGGGAGATTAGATAAAGAGCTGGCAGTTAAAAACTAGATAATGTAAAGATACATTGTGGGAGATTAGATAAAGAGCTGGCAGTTAAAAACTAGATAATGTAAAGATACATTGTGGGAGATTAGATAAAGAGCTGGCAGTTAAAAACTAGATAATGTAAAGATACATTATGGGAGATTAGATAAAGAGCTGGCAGTTAAAAACTAGATAATGTAAAGGGAATTTGCTAAAAATTTCAGTCAAATTGATCCACTCTGAACCAAGAATCTAGCGATTGAATTTTAGGCATAGCCGCGATCATCATTACTAAAGTCGGTACGATAAAACATAGTCTCAATTATCCATTTTCTGATTTAATCATCAATGAGCGTTGAGCAGCAGATCGGATTCCAATCCAATAAATATCGCAGGCTAGCGATGACATCGAGAGTTTATTATGGTCTGGATAATTTTTTTTAATGTTTAATTAATAATTTAGATAACATTTCATGCCCAAAGAAAGACCTGCAATTGGCAGATTTAGCTCTTGCATAATGTAGGTTGAATCTATAATTATCATACATGTACTAATTTATATATACATTTATATATACATTCACTAAAATAAACATTATACTAACAAGATATAACTGTTTATCGTTATTTAATAAGATGTAACTGTTTATTGTTATATAATACGAATAAGATGTAACTGTTTATTGTTATATGATACGAATACGATGTAACTGTTTATTGTTATATAATACGAATATGTAACTGTTTATTGTTATATAATACGAATAAGATGTAACTGTTTATTGTTATATAATACGAATAAGATGTAACTATTTATTGTTATATGATACGAATAAGATGTAACTATTTGTCGTTATTTAAGAATGGAAACAACCAAAGTTGATTTTTAAAAAACGAACAATTTAAAGAAGAAAGAAATTGTTACGTTTTTCAACACTTTGATCTCATCTTTGATTGCTTGGAAGACAGACTTAGTACCGAGTGATCTAAAGTGTTACCATGCCAACATTTAATTTGTCACCTAATATAATTATATGTTTAATTAAAGATGCATTATGTATGGTTTATATAGTGGGAGAGTTGCTATAACAGTTCCAGTGGGAGGAAACCGAAGAGCTTGGAGGAAATAACCTAGGTTGGACTTGGACCGACGAACCCTACTTCATGTCACATACACTTGACTTATTGACAGACCTAACGATCTAAAGCGCATGCGTTAAACCATTCCACTACTACAGACCCCTACGCCAAGCGAATTATTAAAATAAAATTGAACCGTATGTTAGTCCCGAAATGACCTATTTATACAAGTCATGGGGTCGATCCAGCGCCTGTGTGTGACAAGGACTCGGGTCGTCGTTTGTTTTCCAGATACTTAAACACCCTGTGAGCAAGCGAAGTATTAAAATAAAATGTAAATCCGAAAAGAAACTAGTTAACATATTGTACATGTGGGTGGGTGGGTGCCCCCCCCTCCTCTCTCTCTCTCTCCCTCTCTCTCTCCCCCTCCCCCTCTCTTTCTTCAAGCAAAAAATCTCGATATTGTACTAGGGGCATTAAATTATAATATATGTTAGTCCCAAAATAACCTGTTGGTGTTGAGTGGTTAATCAACTCCCCATGTTTTGGCGTTTGAGAGTTGCTGCGGTTAATGCGTCTCTCACTTTTAGTATTAAAACTTTATTCAATGAGATATATGCGTGTAGGTGTTTGAGAGTTGCTGCGGTTAATGCGTCTCTCACTTTTAGTATTAAAACTTTATTCAATGAGATATATGCGTGTAGGCGTTTGAGGGTTTCTGCGGTTAATGTGTATCTCACTTTTAATATTAAAACTTTATTCAATGAGATATATGTGTAAGCGTTTGCGAGTTGCTGCCGTGTGTCTCATCAAATATTTAATTGTGTGAGGATTAAATATTGGTCATTATCTTAATATGATCTTATTAGTATAATACTAATTGGCTTTCTATTATCCTAATATAGATATAGCTGTATATAAACTTAATTAATAATAATAGTTTATCTACCCCCGTCATTCGGTATAAACAGATCTCACTTAATTTTAGTTTTACATGGCACCATCTGCACGTCAACACGCTATACAGAACCATATATCATCATTATACTAATCTCTCCTACCACAGTTAATCAATTAATAAATATTAGTCCACGCTAGAATCAGGAGTCAACAATATTGATGAGTCTTACTCGGTTAATGACCGAGGTAATCGTGATATTTTCAAGGGCGGATACAGAAGTTTGAAAAAAGATGGAAAACCTCCTGGACAGCGAGTCAGCGCCTTACTCTCTGAGTCACCGCGGCTTCCCCCGCCCCGACCCATATAATAAAGAATATTATACTGACTATGTCTTTTTGAGTTTTATAAGATTTTAAAAGGTACGAAACCTGCATATTCAATATAATATATAAAAGCACAATTCAACTTATTTGATGCATGCCGTGTTTATATGTATAAATGGTATGAAGAGCGGAGTGGTGCGAGAATGTTTTCTTAAAATAGAAATTACATCGATCGTGTTTTTTCGGGTCTTACTTAAATCCCCATATTATCTCAAATTAAACCGAGGGCACCTCCGTTCGAATTCCGGCATTCACTCGTGAGTGGTGGCGCCCTCAGGGCTGACAATAAAAGTGTGCCGTGTCGTCTGGATAAGACGAAAAGACGGTGTTCAGTTAGAATAGGCAGATATTTCGGCGTCCGGACACCCCCACTCCACCCACCCCCATCGCATTACACAAGTAACCACAGAAGTAAAATGGATGGTGAAACAAATATATATTCATATAATGTCTGCTAAATCTATACTGTCCACTACATGTTTATAACCCATGAAATCCAAACACGGCATGAAAAATACCAAAACTCTACTTCATCAATTCTTGAAAATCAATAAAATAACTTATAATCAATCGAACACGACCAAAGATGCGTCGAGTACCATGAACCGGATATGACGTCAATAATGACATCTTGTTCATGTAAATTAAGTATAAATATAGATATATTGGTCACAGCTCGTCAATCAAACTTTCCAAGAAAAGATTATTTTTAGATATTCATCTTAATTAGATTAATCAGATATTATTTTCTTCTCATTTCATCCTGACGGTCTCCTCATGTTCTGGCAACCTTAATTAGATAGCCAATCAGATGTCTTCATAATTAAAGCCCTTCAAAACATTTCGCGGAATTATCTTTATTAGGGGTTTTGATTGGTAGATTGATTTCGTCTTGACTTTTACAAGACCAATCAAAACCCCTAATAAAGATAATTCCGCGAAATGTTATACGCCAAACTACGTCATTTATGGTTTAACATAATTATTTTTTCAATAATTCGCTTGTGCATATGGGAATGTTGGAATGGATTAGGAATGGGTAATATAACATTACCATGGGCATTGGCCGAGAAAGTTCATCCCGATTTTCCGACGTGGTTTCCCCTTGTCAGTGATGCAGGACGGTGGGCCTGACAAGGGCAGCTGTCTAGTCCTTCGGATGAGACGAAAAACCGAGGTCCTGTGTAAACATTGGAATGCACGTAAAAGATCCCTTGGCAGTTGGAATTCGATATAAGAGTAGGCGATAGTGCCACTGCCCGGGCAAAAATTTCCCTCATAGCACACTGTATGACGTATGCCCGTCTTCATTAGCCCAGTATAGGAGCAGAACAGTAGGACGTTAAACCCCATTCATTTCATTTCAACATTACCATGGACACCGTTTATAATAAAGCAAATGGAGTTGATATAATTTTCTACTTATTGAATTTAAGTTTATTGTGATTGACTGTGAAAACATTGCTGTGCGATTAAATGATTCATTACTTTTAATAAAATCAACTAAACGAAACGAAATGTATTGGAGCGAACAGGCGTAAAATAGAACCAGACGAAACGAAATCTTATGGTGGAAACGAAAAGAAATGTTGATATACTGTTGATTACACTAATGTCGATCGTACGTCTCGTAACCGGAAGTATGCCACCAGACGTCAACCACAGACCTACTATAAACCCTAGCTGTCGAGGATGTCACTTCGGTGGAACCGGACGTTCACTTAAGCTTTTTCACGCACATGTGTCTCGGTAAAGACGTGTTCACTACAATGCACCGGATGGGATGGGTGTATATATATATATGTAAATAGAACAAATTCAATAAAGAAAGACAATAAGATTGATGAAGCGGATTATTCTTAGAATCCAATAGTTATTTTAGTAATCGTTATATATTTCCATTTCAATAGGGTTTTTTTATCCTTAGAATAACGCTGCATTGTTTTCGCTAACACAATGGGGTATAGTATGTTAAAAAGTCAGGATGAACGGGCGACATTTATGAGATGAAATAAAATGGGATTTAACGTCCTACTGTTCTGCTCCGACTGGCCTAATTTTCTAAATTAAATTTTAATTTTCTAAATTAAATTTTAATCTTCTAAATTAAATTTTAATCTTCTAAATTAAATTTAAATTTTCTAAATTTTCTAAATTAAATTTTAATTTTCTAAATTTTCGAAATTAAATTTTAACCTATAACAATTGCAGTAGAATCGTGATGCACAAGCTCCCCACCATTTAAGGCATCCATTTAAGGCATCGTGGGGATCACGGTGTAGTCATGATTGTCATTACTACCGTTGTAACGATAATAAACAAAGTCTCGATTATCCATTTTTAAATTAAATCATTAACCACAAATCGTGTTTAGATCTGTTGAAAATCTAAAGCGTCCGATGGCGTCGAGAGTTAATTGTGGTATTGGCAAGTTAATTAATGTCTTTTTAATAATTCGTTTATAAAGAAAGACCTGTAATAGGTAGATTTAAGATTTAGCTTTTGAATAATACATCCTTGCGAATATTATGAAAATAGATATTTTATAGATAAACGCTGTAGTTCTATTCCAGTTGTATTAGTATTCCTATTAAAGTAATACTGAAACCATATGATAGTACCGAGTACAAGAATAGCGGAAGTAAAGTCATATTGTATTAATGTTTAACAGAAATCGTGTAATTACGTCCCATTTAATATGGATTCATGAAGCAAAGATATCATCAATTTTCCAACTATGTATATTGTGGGCGCCAATCAGTGGCGATCAGGAAGACTTAATATTACATAAATGTATCTATTTTTAAATGTTTGTTGGAGTTGGACTATCCCTACATCTATACATATAAAAGAGACATTATGTTTCTTTATGGGTTTGCTATAGGAATAAAAACGGCATTGTGACGTCATGTAAGAATGAAAGCCTGTCAATCAATGGTCTTATAAATAGAATCAATCACATGAACGTCACATTCTCACGGATAACTTAATATCTATCAGCTGGAATAACCAACAGAGTTACGGATTGCATTTCTTTTATTTAAATATTATTAATTGTTATCTCCATTTCTGAAATGAAACCAAAATCGAAACCACACCAGTTGACTCAATGACAGACCTTGTGATACAACGCACACGCGCTAGCCCCCCCCCCTGAAAACAAAGAAATACACAATCACTTTTCCATCGAGGTTTAAAACGATGGTCTAATTAACCTGTCTTAGTCGCATTCATATACATGCCTTTAAATGTTAGGGTTTCGTTCCTAGGCCGCTGGCTCGCTAGCCTTGAGGTAGCTGGTGTTGGCCGAGAAAGTTCACCGGGGTTTTCCAACGTGGTTTCCCCTTGTCAGTGGTGGAGAATGGAGAAGCCTGACAAGGACAACTGTCTAGTCGTTCGGATTGGACGACAAACCGAGGTCCCGTGTACACATTAGTGTACACGTAAAAGATCCCTTGATAGTTGGAATTCGATATAAGAGTAGGTCGTTGTGCCACTGTCCGGGCAGAATTTTCCCCATAGCACACTGTATGACATATGCCCGTCTTCACTAGCCCAATCGGAGCAGATAGAAGGACGTTGATTTCATTTCGATCCTAAGCGTAGGGTTGCTGTGTATGATCTGAGTAACCCGGATTCTCGTCACTGTTAAAAACCCTGACCGAGGGCTAAACAATAATACAAGCTAAGATGTTTTGTTTTTAAAAATACAATATTTATTGAAACATTCAACTGAATATGGATGTCACATAAAAAAACAAGCACGTAACAGAAATATAAAAAAAATATGGCTTACATGGTAAAATAAATAATAACAAAACCATGATCATATGGTTGACATGGCAACATCATCTTAAATAATAACACAATTATCATATTATGGATTACATCGTAACACAATCTTAAATAATAACAGAAATATGATAAACTGGTTTACATGGTAACATGATTTTAAATAATAACAGAATTACGATAATAATACTATGGTTGATATGGTAACATAATAACAGAACTATGATAAACTGGCTGACATTGTAACATAATCTTATGATAATATAGTTTACATGGTAACATAATTATAAATTATACAAACATTATAATAATATGGTTTACATGGTAACATAATTATGATCATATGATTGACATGGCAACATAATTTTAAATAATAACAGAATCATGATAATGTGATCTTAATAATAATATTAATTATGGTTGACACGGTAACATAATTTTAAATAATTAATGATAATATGGTTTACATGGTAACATAATTATAAATAATAAAAGAATTGTGATAATATGGTTTACATGGTAACATAATTATAGATAATAAAAGAATTATGATAAACTGGTTTACATGGTAACATAATTATAAATAATAAAAGAATTGGGATAATATGGTTTACATGGTAACCTAATTATAGATAATAAAAGAAGTATGATAAACTGGTTGATATGGTAACATAAATATAAATAATAAAAGAATTATGATAAACTGGTTGATATGGTAACAAAATTATAAATAATAAAAGAATTATGATAAATTGGTTGATATGGTAACATAGTTATAAATAATAAAAATAAGTATGATAAACTGGTTGATGTGGTAACATAAATATAAACTGGTTGATATGGTAACATAATTATAAATAATAAAAGAATTATGATAAACTGGTTGATATGGTAACATAATTATAAATAATAAAACAATTATGATAAACTGGTTGATATGGTAAATTTATTATAAATAATAAAACATGACTCTAAATCGTTTAAAGATGCATTATGTAAGAGCTAAATCTGTCATTTACTCAAAATTATTCGCATTATTTTAACTAAAATAATAATATAGCCCTGTATAAAACTTTTGTTGTTTTAATGTATCAAATACATCAATAAGAAACTATGTGCATATTCTTGTGTTTCAGGATCAAACATATTTCTCATAAACAGTGACTGAAAGTTGAGTAAATTATTAACTTAAGTCAGAGAATGCTTTGTAAACTCGGTTTCAGTTCTTTATCCAAATCTTACATAATGCATCTATGAAACATCCGCTATAAACATTGTATAAGAGGATAAATACATTTTTAATTTTGAAAGTATAAATTGATTATACATCTACACCACAACACAGACCAGATCTATATTTCGTTTCGTTAATTTATACTTTCGATGGTCTTCAATACGTGAAGATCTGACCAGTTGCGTTGGAAGATCGTACGAGTGGTTTTTGAACCTACTGTTCCGTGCATCGCACGCCAAGAACTCGCCGTAACAGACCGTCTCATTGGCTGAGCCCTCACTTCAATCAGAACGCAGGTTATATACCAACTCTTCCAGGTCCTAGTGTTGGGAAGACAAATAAAACGAAATTTTGAACTATAAAAAAACGAAACGAAATAGGATCTGTGTTTTAATCCGATTGAACACAGATTGACGTTTAATTATACAGAGAAATACTGGGAGACGTTTCTACGAGGGTTCTCATCAACATTGATACAATTATAAAAAGTCATCTATATTATTACTGAGCAATTTTTCGATTCAATAAAACATATTATTACATTAGGCTAGATAGGCTAAATCTTATCTCCAAACTGCCGCATTCGTTTATATTTCGTTTTCGTGTATTTTTAGAATTCTTATGATTGGCAGAATGATCAACATCTAACCCTAACCAAGGAATTTTATTAGTTTACAACATGGGGGGCAATGAAGGACGTAAATCCCATATAGCTCAATAACATATAAAATGGGAATTAACGTCGTTTCATTGTGTACCTACTGGGCTGATGGAGACTAGCATACACCATGCAATGTGAGTATGATGATATTCACGCGAGTATGGGGATATTCACGCGAGTATGGAGATATTCACGCGAGTATGATTTTATTCACGCGGGTATGATGATATTTATTATGATATTCACGTGAGTATGATGATATTCACGTGAGTATGGTGATATTCACGTGAGTATGATAATATTCACGTGAGTATGATAATATTCACGTGAGTATGATAATATTCACGTGAGTATGATAATATTCACGTAAGTATGATAATATTCGCGTGAGCATGATGATATTCATGTGGAATATTTCAGTATTTAGAACACAGCTCGCATGTAAAATTAATAATATTAAAAAAACCAAAAATAACCCACGCAAAACATAACAATAATATAATATTTATGATATTTCAATAATAACCATAAACGACACAATAATAATAGGCAATCTAGACATGTTGATATCCACCTCTGTAAGTCACAGTTGACTGTTTAATCTAAACAAGCGGCTAAATATAGTTCATTTTGATACTAAATGTTTGAGAAATGGTAGTTTTAGTTCCCAAATGACCTTGTTTGTGTCGTCGATTGATCATTAATGCACACCTCTTTTTTTTTATTAAGGGCGATAACGCTATCATCTTAAAATACAACACATATATTTCAAAGCTATGCGGAAACAAAATCCGGAAAACTGAACCCAGAAGGACGGAATGACGGAATGGCGGAATGATCTACAGACAAGGGTTACAATATATAGAATTATTAAATAGCTATAAACTAAATACATAGACAATATTTGTAACGTCTTAAAGACAGTGTCATATTCTGGAAAACTTTCTAACACTATGAAGAATGCAGCCGGTTCATTGGCAAAAGAAAGGAATTAAAATGGGGTTTAACCTCCTACTGCTCTGCTCCGACTGGGCTAATGAATTGCTTCAATGGCATTTAGTGAGATAGAGAGAGAAATGGGGTTTAACGTCCACTCGACACAAACTAGGTCATTTCGGGACTAACATATGGTTTAATTTTATTTCAATAATTCGCTTACGCGTAGGGGTCTTTAGCAGTGGGAGGAAACCGGAGGACCCGGAGAAAACCCACGAGGTTGGACAGGCGACCCTACTCCTTGTCACGTACAACCGGGGCTTCGAAACCACGCCAGTTGACTCAATGACAGGCCTTGTGATACAGTACGCACGTGCTAACCATTCGGCCCCCAACCCCACTGGCATTTAGTAATTGAACTAGAAAAGACAGGTCACAGTTCTATGGAATTTAATCACTGTTTATTAATGCGTGACGTTTCGACTAGGCTTATCGTTGCTTGATAAAAATAACAGACGCCTAGTGGAAACGTCGCTCATTAATAGGCAGTAATTGTATTCCATAGAATTGTGGAAGACGGCATTGTTAAAACTCAAGATTTGTGTAAGGATGTCAATGTTCAGTCAATGAACTTTCATGAACAGGGCCTCAAGTCGATAAGATACCAAGGCTTTGTCAAGAATTCTAATTGATCTAATTTCGTGAACAGGGCCTCAAGTCGATAACATACTAAGGTTTTGTCAAGTATTCTAATTGATCGACAAGTATTGATATAAACTATATAACAATCGATATATTCATGTTTATACCTTACTTAATATCCATCTTAAGAATATATATTTTGAAGTTACTTAAACATACATTATGCAAGAGCTAAATCTGCCTATTGCAGGTCTTTCTTTAGACCTGAAATATTATATAAACTATTAATTACATGACCATAATCAACTCTCGATGCCATCGGATGGCTTCGATTTTAAACAGATTAGAACGTTTCAGCCATTTAATGATTTACCGTAAAAATGGCGAAGCGAGGCTAGGCCTCGAACAACCAGTACGGTGGTTACAATCAGTGCGCACATCTTTTCAAACATTCCAAGGCTAATATCTTTGTTCAGAATAAAATAATTCAAATGAAATTTTCAATATATTCATTTTGAATTATCCCTGTATCTAAATCTTACATAATGTATCTATAACATATGTCTTAAATAAAACAAAAACAAAAACAAACCAACAAACACTTAAAGCCTAGAGAAAAAGTTTCAAATGTCATAACAAATATTAATATCTCTGCTCAATGATTATCCCCCTTCCAAAGACCTACTCAGGAAAAAACATAAAGGAGACCCTGCCTCACTCCCCGCCTGGCTTCAAAATTATGATAACACTGTCTCGACACTCTCAAAAGCACTATCATCGCTTAATGGACACTTGTAACGTACAGTCACAATGGTACCGTGATTTGTTCGTCGCTTTTTACGACAACAGATGTTGATAAACGCTCGTCTGAAACCGTTGGTTAAGAAACAGTAACATATTGGGTTGACGGTAGAGTTTGATAAAGCCAACAGCTGCACGAGCGGATACAAGTAATTTATTACGTCATTAGCCGACGGCGACTGGATGTTGAAGTCTAACCAAATATTAACGACATAATATGGCAGCCAACACACGCCAAATATTATGACTAAAGATATTAAAGTACGAACAGTTTTACGTCTCTGTCTTATTACTCTGTCTGTTTGAACTTTGGCCGTTTTTGTTCCGTTTGAGTAAAGCTGTCCGTCTGCGTTCCATAACGTTGTTGAGATGATGGAATACATGGTGGCCATACCAGAGAGAGGCGATACAAACAAAATACCCAACATCACCAAGCTATAGATCTGTTTCAATTGTGGTGTACCCCATTTCTCCTCACACGCCCTCGCTTCAAATATGCCCGGCACGCCATAGGTCGTGACGTTATTCACATAAAGCAATGGCGAAATGGCGCCAAATGATGCAATCCAGATTAGCACGATAATAATGGCGACGTTCTGGCGCGAGAATATAAGTTTAGCTCTGAGAGGAATATGAATAGCGAAATAACGATTTATACTGATAGCTAACATACTAAAAACACTTACACTGACCGCCGTTCCCTGTAAAAATGGCGTCACTTTACACATAATCTCTCCATAGACCCAGTCTCGGTATAAATAGTTACCCAATGTTATTGGAATGCAGATGACCAACACCAGCAGGTCACCAATTGTTAGATTGAGAAAAAACACGTTGGTTAATGTCCTCATGTGACGTTGTCTTACTACGACCAATATAACAAAGGCATTCCCCACAAGTCCCGCCAACATGGTGATGGCGTATACCACCATTAAAACAATGTTAAAGGGCTCTTTGTGGCGATATAAATTACTACGTAGATCGTCCAACAGAAGGTCCGGATTAAAGGGATAATCGTTATATTGGTCCTTGTTTATGGTCGTATCAGACATGTTCCACAGGAACTTTATTAAGTCTTCGTTAACCTCCATGTTTGTTGGCAATGTCACTTCCTGATATGAGTGTCGTCACTTCCTGATACGAGTGTAGTCACTTCCTGAAATGTGCGTCGTCACTTTCTGATATGAGCGTCGCCACTTTCTGAAATGAGCGTTGTCACTTTCCGAAATGAGAGTCGTCACTTTCGGATATGAGCGTCGTCACTTTCTGAAATGAATGACGTCACCTCCTGATATAAAAGTCGCCACTATCTGTTCTAAGCGTTTTCACTTCCTGGTATGATCTGCGTCACGATTCGATATAAAAGGTTTGATATGAATGTCAAAGCTATCGCAAAACGAGCGCAGTCACGTCCTGATACAAGCGGCGAAGCTATCGCAAAACGATCTGCGTCATTGTCTAGTAATGGCGGTTTTGCTTCAAGATGGGTCTAAATTAAAAACCAAGGAAAAAAGAACAGCTTGAAATTCCCCTTTGCGCTTTATATTCGCAATTACTTCATACGGCGTTTGAAAAAAGAAATGATCGAAATCTTGATCTGTGTTTTTTTTCCTTTCCTTTGTCACAAATTCCCAAAACGACTTGACAATTTAATTAACTTTCTTCAAAACAAAGAAACGATTTATAAATAGTCATTGAGTAGATTGTGTTCGTTCAGCTTTCAGAGTAAGTTAAAAAAAAAAAGAAAAAAGGAACGAATATTATATTTGAATGTACAAAAATGAAAAGACAGCAATACCTTGTTACTGGAGTCGCTCCACAACCTAGTTAGCAATAACGAATCTCCCAACACAATTATAAATAACAACTGCGCACATCTTTTACAGAGATGGAAAAAAGTTTTCCGGATATATAATATATCTTCAATTCTAATTACAGACGTTTTCACTGTTGATTTCACTTCATTTGACTGTATGCCTATAAACCTAGTTTACTTGTTGCGTTTTATTCTGGTAAAAAAAACCCCTTCAGCTTTTAGTTTATATTTTCTGGATAAGTTTAAATCGTAAATTGAGTTAATATATCACACGTTTGTTTTTGGTAGAACACAGTTTTTTCTTTGTTAGATGATATTTTTATGAATCGGATACAAATTACTTTAACCAGCGGACGGAACACTCCAATTCATTTTCAACATAAAAGACAGGAAATAGATCTCACATCTAATGAACAGCGAGTTCATACAAATCAGTTTTTGTTTGCTATCAAAACATTCCAATCTTTTTTCTCTTCTTTTATTAATGTTACATAGTGAAATTAGTGAGAGAAAACCGGTAATTGAAACTCGAGTAATTCACAATCCTCTACAAAATCCCTTTTTATGACCTACTGTAATTTTCTAATTTAATATAATTTAAACTCGAGTAACTCACATTCCTTTATAAAGCCTTTTTGTGAACTTCTGTAAATTTCTTATCTAATTTAACTCACATTCGTTTTAAAAAAAAAATAATACGCATCGTCTCATGACTTTCTGTAAGTTTCGTTTCTCGTTATAAACGCAGGTCGTTTATTCAGAAAGCTTTTCAACTCGTTTTTATTTCAATTTGGTAGGTTGTTAATTTCCACAAGACACCATTTCTATCGTCATTCAGCTCCACCGAATTATGTATATATTATTTCACCTCCAGTGGTTTCTAATTCCGCTTCAACTCTGAAAATAGAAAATTCAAAATATATTCAGTTGTTCGCTGCAGAGAACATGATTAATGGTATATCGTCCTAATGGTGTCACCGTTCTTCTTCAACATTTCAATATATATGGACAGTCAACCATTAATCACAGCTCTAGCGTGGTCGGCGTGCTAGAACACACATTTGAGTGGTCATTGATTAAAAGCTTACTTCTAGATTTGTCCAGCACCGCATTTTGACTAGGTAGGAAAACGCTAGATCGGGGACGGTCCCGCACATTTTAGAGAGAGAGAGAGTGAGAGAGAGAGAGGGAGAGAGAGAGATAGATGAGGTTTAACGTCCACTCGACACAACCTAGGTCATTTCGGAACTAACATATGGTTTAATTTTATTTCATTAATTCGCCTTCACGTAGGGGTCTTTAGCAGTGGGAGGAAACCGGAGGACCCGGAAAACTCCCACGAGGTTGGACAGGCGACCCTACTCCTTGTCACGTAGAACCTGGGAATCGAAACCCCGCCAGTTGACTCAATGACAGACCGTATGAAACAGCGCGCGCGCATGCTAACCATTCGGCCATCCAACCCCCCGCACATTTTAGTACATATGACGTCATGTGTGGATTGTGGGTTAGAGTTAGGGTTATAGCATCTGGGAAATACAGGGAAAATAGTTTTGTGTTGGCAATTTGAGTTTTAAAAAAATAGGTTCGTCAAGTGACCTAAAACAAGGTTATTTTCTTGTTTAGTCTTCTGGCGAACCGACGAATCTGATATATTTAAGTATTGTGAATTATGTGTTTGAAATTTGCATTCTGTTGTTATATCTGTGGACATCAAATAATAACATTCATTTGTGATTTAATATTTCCTACATATACATCAGGACACGGAACGTCAATTACATAAATGTTATTATTTGATGACTACAGAGATTTGTATTTGTATTTGTATTTCCCAGGTCCTATATATAGGTTTCCAGGTCGTTTTCTGTGGACAAATTCCAACATTGAAATTTCGGTTTTACAGTAGTCCGAACCGCAAGGGAGGTTGGATGGCCGAATGGTTAGCACGTGCGTGCTGTATCATAAAGTCTGTCATTGAGTCAACTGGCGGGGTTTCGATTCCCCGGTTGTACGTGACAAGGAGTAGGGTCGGTCGCCTGTCCAACCTCGTGGGTTTTCTCCGGGTCCTCCGGTTCCCCCCACTGCTGAAGACCCCTACGCGCAAGCGAATTATAGAAATAAAATTGAACCATTTGTTAGTCCCGAAATGACCTAGTTTGTCTCGAGTGGACGTTAAACCCCATCTCTCTCTCTCTCTCTCTCTCCCCGAGCCGGCAGTATTTTCTAGAACCTTGCTCAGTACACTTAATCTAGAAATGCTAACAAATAAATAATAAACATATTGCCGTATTCTAAATGAAGAAATATGGACTTTGAAAAGCGTCAATGCATTAAGATACGATGTTATTACCCCTCCGGTTGCGACAAGATGGCATTAATTGGGGTCAATTTGTCCCAAATCGGTGCACTTTGAAAGTTCGGTTTATTATTTATTCGATCAGGTGTTCCATTACTCGTGGATTAGTTTTACCCACAGTTTTCACATTACTGATATAAAATGAATCCGTTTCTTAGCAGAGTAATGACTTTCTGCCTTTCCATTTTTTTTAGGACATTTAGATCATATATGTGGGCACATACATCAGTGGGGCGTTAACCCCCGTATCAATCAATATGTAGGTAGCCATAACAAACTCAAGAGATCACAATATACGTCACTACTAGGTGTTCTGATTAAATCAGTGGTTCTCAACCTTTTTTATGCCAACGGCACACCTTGGAACACGTTCAAAAATAGCAGCACACCTGGCTAAATATATACGAAGAATATTTGAATTTTGCAAAATAAAAAGATGATAGGTCAGACGACATACAACCGTAGACATAGACTAGTCATAGACACATATAACGACACAAACTAAAGAAAGAAAACACAGCTATGAACTTTTCAGTAGACACCAGTGAATACTCAATTGGGATCACATGTTTTTTTCCCACATTTCTTAGTGTGCCGTTCAAAATTTCGTAGCACACTGGTTGAAAATCACTGGATAAAATTAAAGCTATATGTGCTCTCTTTTGATGTTATTTAATTACTAATGGAAGTATCAGATCTCCACGTGATTTAGATTTATTGTTGATGTTACTGAAGATATAAACGGGATTTAATGTATCTGGCCCCCGAGTTCACAAAGCATTCGCGGACTTAAGTTAAGAATATACTCAACTTTCAATCACTGTTAATGTGAAATATCTTTGATCCAGAAACACAGAACTTTGTACACAGTTTCTTATTGATGTGTTTAATTAATACATTAGTCATCTTCATTAGCCCAGTTGGAACAGAACAGTAGGACGCTATACTCCATTTTATTTCCGTCCATTTCATTTCATTTAATACACAAGACCAACAAACGTTTTATAAAGGGCTATATTATAATTAAAACAACGTGAATAATTTTGATATAAATTCTTAAATTAACGTCTGAGATGCTTTTTGAACTCGCAGCCTGATCTTCGCATGATTCAGATGAATGTTGATGTTACTGAAGATTTACACGGTTAAAGAATCACATATATATTGTCGCCCACGATTTATAAAGGGGACGACCAGCAAGTCAAAAGGTAGGGCAGTCAGCCTTTAGAATGACGGAATGGTCATATATCATAAGTCATGTCATTGAGTCAAATTTCCTGCGTATACATGGCAAGGAGTTGGGCTGCCCTTCCATCCTTGTGGGTTTTCGCCGGTTCCGTCAGTTTCCCCTCACTGTCGCGCAATAAAATAAAATTGAACCATGTGTTAGACCCACAAGAACCTAGTTTGTGTCGATTGGACGTTAATTCAGTATAAAGCGCACGGGGTTCCGTCGCCAATTCAGTCCTATAATATCGTACTTGGCACCAGAACTC